CTTACTTACTAAAGCAATTGAGTCACTCAGGGGTGTTTGTCTTCACCCTTGCATCTAAAATCCTTCCCCAGCCCTTCCTTTCCATTACCTCTTGTTCTATAATTTCAATCTCTCCTTATCCTCAGCTACAAATGTATTCAACTTTCTCCTATATTAACATTCCCATGGCTTTATAGCTCTTCCTCCTTTCCCTGCTGCCAGCTTTTCTAATAAAGTCTTCTATATTCACATTCACCCTCACCTCTCATTCTATATTAGACAGAATTCTTTCATGTGCAAGTGATCAAAACACAACTGTCTTAAGCGGGAAAAAATAATTTGTTCACAGAACTTGAAAGTCAAAAAGTAGATTTCCTACTTCAAGAATGTCTGAATCCATCCGGAGGTGAGATGGGAAGGCAGAGAGGGTTAGGAGCTGGTTGAATGGACATGGGGAATCAGGGGTGGAAAGGAGTGTGCTGTCACAGTAAGTGAAGAGCAATTAGGGTCACATAACAATGTATGTATAAATTTTTGTATGGGAGACTAACTTGAAATATAAACTTCATTTAAACTACAACAATAATAAAAAAAAGAAGTGTCTGAATCCAGGTGCTCAATGATTCCAGCACGAGGCTGTCTTTCTTGCTCTCTGCCTTCCTCTATGTTGGCTTCACTCTCAGTCTGGCTCTCTTCTCTTGATGGAGAGATGACCACAAGAAGATCCAAGTTTACATTTTACCAGCTCATCAGTCCCAGCAGAAAGAGCCCTACTTCCCCAAAGACTTTAGAACAGTTCTGGAATTGAATCTCATGGACTTGGCTTGACTCACTTATCCATTCCTGAACAAATCATTTGGCCAGGAGATGGAATGTTCTAATTTGCCAGGCGTGGGCCACATGGACCAGTTCAACTCCATCCAAGGGATAAGTGGTTTCCCAAAGGAAAATCGGGGTGCTGATTTTGGAAAAAGAGGAATTGGATGGTAGGCAGGCAAAACCAACACCTGTCCACTACACTTTCACTCCTTAATCTAGTGCAATATGATTTCCATTCCTAGCACTAACTGATGTCTCTCTCACCAAGATCACCTGGGATCTTGATGGCCAATAGCCATCTGCTCAGCCCTCACTCTTCACCTTTCTGCCAATCACTTCTTCTTTTTGCAAACTCTTTTTCCTTGACTTCCATGACCCAGGTTGTCTTATTCATCTAGTACTGCTATAACAGAAACACCACAAGTCGATGGCTTTAACAAAGAGATATTTATTCTTTCACAGTCTAGTAGGTTACAAGTACAAATTCAGGGCATCAGCTCCAGGGAAAGGCTTTCTCTGTCAGCTCTGGAGGAAGGTCCGTGTCATCAATCTTCCCTTGGCCTAGGAGCTTCTCAGTGCAGGAACTGCAGGTCCAAAGGACGTGCTCTGCTCCTGGCACTGCTTTCTTGATGGTATGATGTCCCTGTGTCTCTCTGCTCGCTTCTCTCTTTTATGTCTCAAAAGTGACTGGCTTAAGACACTGTCTAATCTTGTAGATCTCATCAATATAACTGCCACTAAACCATCTCATTACATCGTAGTAATAGGATTTACAACACATAGGGAAATCACATCAGATGACAAAATGGTAAGACAATCATAGAATACTGAGAATCATGACCCAGTCAAGTTGAAAGACATTTTTGGGGGGCACAATTCAATCCATGACACAGGTCTATACTAACTTCTCTCCAATCTCTCTGACCCACCCCTCTGTCTCCTTCACATATGGCCATCCTCTAAGATTCAGTCTTCAATCCTCTCCAGTCTCCATCTGTGGTCTCATTGCTCTCCTGAGCACACATCTAGCTACTTCCTGGTCGTCTCCTTTTATATCTTTGTCTCCTATCATTCACTTGAGCTCCTGAGAGCCCTCAACCCAGTCACCCTAGCAGTATCACACACTCATGATCTCAGTCATCTTTTCCTTCTGCTCTCCCAGTCCCTTCCTCCAGTCTGACACCAAGTCAGTTGCTTCTCTGTTGGATTCATTCTTCCATCAATGCTCCCCATCAGCTCCACACCACTGCCCCACCCAGACCTTCATTATGCCACTGCAGCACTTCTCTGCCCATCGATTCTGCACTCAGGGACCAGATTAACCTCCTAAGCAGCATATTCACCAAGTCATTCATCTCTGAAATCTTACATGGTTCCCTACTGCTAATAAGCCTCCTCAGCCTGGACTGCATTCAGGGCCCCGGCAGGTGTCTTCAGATTTACCTTCAATCATTCCTCTTCCTGGGTCTTTCAGGCCCAGCTACACTAGTTTATTCACTGTGATCTAAACATTTCATTTTCTTACCTCTGAACTTTCGCACAACAGTAATCTTGTTGGCTGCTGTTGAGTTGGCCCCTGTCATGGATTGAATAGTGTCCCCCAAAAACATCTGTCAACTTGGCTAGGTCATGATTCCCAGTATTGTATGACTGTCTACCATTTTCTTATCTGATGTGATTTCCCTATGTGTTGTAAATCCTATCACTATGATGTAATAAGATGGATTAGCAGCAGTTATGTTGATGAAATCTACAAGATTAGGTAGTATCTTAAGCCAATCTCTCTTGAGATATAAAAGAGAGAAGCGAGCAGAGAGACATGGGGACCTCATATCACCAAGAAAGCAGTGCTGGGAGCTGAGAGTGTCCTTTGGACCTGAGGTTCCTGTGCTGAGATGCTCCCAGACCAAGGGAAGACTGATGCATCATAAGAACCTTCCTCTAGAGCTGACAGAGACAAAAAGCCTTCCCCTGCAGCCGGTGCCCTGAATTCGGACTTCTAGCCTACTGGACTGTAAGAGAAAAAACTTCTTTATTAAAGCCATCCACTTGTGGTACTTATGTTATGGCAGCACTAGATGACTAAGACAGCCCATAACTGATGGAGACCCCATACATAACAGAACAAAATGCTGCCATCCCCATGATGGGTTGCAGGTCAGATAATTGTGATCCACAGGGTTTTCACTGCTGATTTTCAGAAGTAGATCATCAGGCCTTTCTTGCTAGTCCAACTGAGTCTGGAAGCTTCACTGAAACCTGTTCAGCATCACTAAAGCCTCCACTGACAGATGGGCGGTGGCTGCCCATGAGATGCACTGACTAGGAATCAAACCCAGGTCTGCATAAAAGGCAAGAATCCTACCACCGAACCACCGTCCCCTACAGTAATCTTGTTGTTAGCTACCACTGAGTCAACTGCAACTCATGGCAACCCCATGTGTGCAGAGTAGAACTGCTCCATAGGGTTTTTAAAGCTGTGACCTTTCAGAAGCAGATTGCCAGGCTTGTCTTCCAGGGCACCCCTGGGTGGGTTTGAACCTCCAACCTTTTGACTATTAGTCAAGCACTTAACTGGGTGCACCACCCAAGGATTCCACAGTAATTTTAGGCCCTCACTATTGCCTCTTCTAAATTTTACCTATATTTCTAAATTAAGCTCCAAGCCACCTCTTCTGTGAAGTCATTCCTGAACATACCAACTGATTCCCCTAATTTTGAGTGTATAAACGTTTGTTGCTTTGGCATGAGACATGATACCTCCTCTAATAAGGGAATCTCAGGACAGCTTCCCCAGTCATGCACTTGCTGTAGAAAGAATGAGTCTCAGTCCCTCAGCTACCATCACAGGGAGCAACCAATGGTTGTCTCCCTTGGACCTACTCATGGTAGTCCCTGACCCCATCCTCCTCACAGGGTTGTTTCAAGGAGACTATGAAGATACTTTATACATTGTTGCCAATTTATGCAAGTAGAAGGGGGAGAGGAGACTGAGTCAGTTGCAGGCCCTACCATTTTTTCTTAAATGTTCTTCTTCAAAATCTCCTACATTACATACTTAAAATGATTTAAAAAGAAAATACACACTTTAAGCAAAATAATTCTTTTTTTGTCATCAAATATGTATTTTTTTAAAAGCCACCTTCTTGTCCCTTGCTGACTACTTCTAGAGACATGTCTGACCTCTGGTTGTTTTTGGTTTGCTTCTGGTTTTGTTTTTAGAGTGGTGGTGATGAAGAAGATAGGTCCTTCCATTACACAGTGCTTAAGTATCTCTCAACAAGAACATGATTAACTGGAATCACTCTTTTATAATTTCTATGATATAGACAAAATTAACTAGCCATGTTTTAACATGTTTTTGATTTAAAAGAAATACTGAAGAAACTTTCTTTTTTTTAAGGGAAGTTCCTGCTGTCCTTAGCTGGGAAAGATGTGCACCTACAAAGGGTGTCGCTGGTACCATCACAGAGCTTCTGTGGTTCCCAGGAGACCTGGGTCTCCTCTTGGCCACTGATTCCCTGTGTGAGTGAATCCCTCACACAGCGGGGTCTCAGTTTCCCTATGAATGACATGATCTCTAAGAGATTTTCCAGTTCTAGAAACTTCTGTATAGCTCTGCAAAAACATACTGTCCGCAAAAGTGCTTTTAAAAGGCGATACATCTACCTCTTTATAAAAATACTTACGGGGGAGAAAAATTAGAGTGGATCTGAATCAATTACATTTACGTCAGTAGACTCCAAAGGAGAAAAAAATCCAGACTGGATGAATGAGTTAACAAGTTTTTCAAAATAGTTATAACCAGTCCATATCCATAAACGGATTCAGTCTTCCCTATAATCCTAGGAGGGAGACAATGCAAGGATTCTTATCCCTTTTACAAATAAGGAAACCGAGGCTCAGCGAGCGTAATTGGCTTGCCTCTTCTGTAACCCGCCAAACATCACCGCCCTAACTTTACCTCACCTCCCGGTTCAGGACAAGAATTCCCTTTAGGGGTGGCGGTCCCTGGTCATTCCGGCTCCAGAAGGCGGGGCAAATATTCCTACTTTAAGACAAGCGCCTCTACCGCCTCCCTTCGGACCGCGAGACTCACCTCCCTCACCGCTGGCGCTGCCCGAGTCACGAGTTTTCTTCGGGGGCCCGCCTCTCCTCTTGCTGATTGAGCAGCTCTTGAGACATTTCTACCCTCTCATTGGTTGCTCCCTTTTCGGCTATCCATCGCTCCCTAGACCAACCGGATATAGGGGCAGGGTTTCCGCTTCCGCCTTCACTTTCCTCCCTCTAGTCCTCGGATCGTACTCGCTAGCACAGCGGCCGCTTCCTGGCAAGGTGTCGGTGGGTTGGTTGGTTTGTCTCCAAACGTCAGTGTCCGTGCCGCTGAACTGCCCGCCATGGCTGAGATGGATCCGTTTGGCGCCCCCGCTGGCGCCCCAGGCGGCCCCGCGCTAGGGAACGGGGTGGCCGGCATCGGCGAAGAAGACCCGGCCGCGGCCTTTCTGGCGCAGCAAGAGAGTGAGATTGCAGGCATCGAGAACGACGAGGCCTTCGCCATCCTGGACGGCGGCGCCCTCGGGCCCCAGCCGCATGGCGAGCCGCCGGGGGGTCCGGGTGAGAGTGCGGGCGCGCTGGGGCGGTGGAACTTGTCTGGAAATTCAGGACAGAGTGGTTCCGAGAGCTTCTGTGTAACTCTTGTTCCTTGTTGAACCAGGAGGTTAGGGAGGAGTGGAAAGAGGAAACGAGACCCCGGCCCAGTCATGCAGAAACCTAGGGCGGGGGCGGAGCGAGAAACTAAAGAAAATAGAATGAGTGGTACTTAAGCTGAGAAGCTCTAGGAGTCCCGTTCAGTTGAGCAAGTTTTCATTAAGCACTTGCTGTGTCTTGAATCTGGCCTCTGAAACAGCCGCATTGGCGCATTTTGACCAGGATTACAGGCAAGGCTGACTCCAGTACAGAACCAGTTACTAGGAAAGGGCGGGGGGGGGGGGCAGAAAAATTAAGAGTAGTAATTTGTTTTTGAAATATTGAGACAAAAAACAGCAATGCAGTTCAGCGTGGAAGCACTTAAGGTATTCAGCGCGTAGGCTATGGGGAGGGAAGTAGAAGTAAATCGGGAACTCAGGAAAGATGGTCTAGCCCTGGAGAAAGACACTTGAACCAACAGAGGGCTAGGAGTTTAGCATTTGTTGAGCTGTATTGGAACCGGGACTTCTGGAGCTTTTCTTCCTCTGGGAACGGCTTTGCTAGCCAGTGTTGCAGAACCTAGGATTAGCCTGGATCAATTAGGGAGGGAAGAAGAGCTGAATAGAGAATGCAGTGTGACTTTTTTTCCAACCAAACTAAAGCGAAAAGGGGTGAGGGATGAGGATGCAGGGGCGGTGATTGTGTGCCATTTTGACCTTTGAATGCTTTACTTGTGTGTGATGCTTAGAATTGTAGAGGTGAGAGGAAAGGATGAGTGGAAGAGACTTATTCAGTGGTGTAGGAAAGTAGGGAGTTTAGCCAGAAGAAATGAGACATGACTTGTCATTTACTTAAAAATGTTTCAATTAAAGGGAAATAAGGCACTGGTGGGGCAGATAGGGGTTATCTGTATTAACCTAAACTCTAATCTAAAAGAGACCTGGCAGGTAACAAATGAGATGGGCAGGCTGGACATGAGACAATAAGGAACATTGGAGACTGAGGCTTTAGTGCGCTAGAGAGTAGGGCTCTGCTAAAAAACATTCAGGTTTAAAAATGTCAAAGTACTATGCCAGCCAAGCAGAAGATCTGAGGGAGAATGGGGGGGGGGCTGCTAGTTTGCAGCTTCTGTGTTCTCTATACCATACTATGCTGCCTTCTAAGCAAATCAGTCCCGCAAGAAGAACCTACATGGAAACCAAAAGTGCTACCATAAAGAATGGCGGGGGGGCTGGGGCAAGGGATGTTTTCCCAAAAGTAAGCCTTTAGTATTCTCTAGAATTGCCAGACCATGAATATATAATTTATGGTAAGCAGGTTGGACTGAACCGGGCTGTGACTGAAAGAGAAAACTGAGTTCTAGAGAGAAGTGACTGAAGAAAAAGGCAACTAATAGCTGAGCCCCATGTCTTTCCGCCGTTAGACTGTACCACACATTGTTCTGCAGTTGTTTTAGCAGGCATGTGGTGGGATAAGAGATTGTCAGTTCTGAAAGGCAGTTGTGGCTGCCCTGGGTAGGACAGAGTTGAGAGACACAAAACTCATGGGGAGAACTAGGGGTCCTTACCACATACCTAGTTAGAAGACTGTCCTGACTCAAGGACAGTGTTGCTTACTGCTGTATTTCTAATACCTAGCGGGTGTCTGGCACATAGGTGCTCATATGCTTGTCAAAGGAATGGGCAAAAAGTGTCAGGTCCAGCGGTCCTGTATAGAACTGGCAGATCTTAGTGTGATGGGCACTTCAGGGAGGTAAAGAGAATAGATGCACTTAGGTCCCTTGTGCATCAAGCCTTCAGCAAAGGGAAGGAAGGGATGATTGCTGACTTAGTTCCTAGGAAGGACTTTCTTAGTGAACTAAGCATGTAGTGACTGAAAGCCAGATTCCTGACAGTGTGGTTGAGGTTGGTAATAGTGCAGCGGTCAGCACTTGAGGATTAGATAACTAGTTAGACACTTTCTCTCTCTCTCTCTCTCTTTTTTGGGGAGGTAACTCTAGTATAGTGGTTAAGATTGTGTGTTATTGTGTAGGCTGCTTGAATGTTTAGCTTTGTGGTGTCAGGCAAGTTAACATAACTGCTAACACCACTCTGCCTCAATTTTCTCCGTAAAAGGTGCATAGTATATGCCATGTAGGGTTGTTATGATTACATTAGAGAGGACCTGTAAAGTGCTTATACGCTGTACCTGGTATATAGTAAGCATCCATTGAATTCCAGCTACTCTTATTCTTCGGAAATGGGGAAGAAAAGGATGTTGAGACCTATAGGTTTTGGGATATACTGAGGAAATTGAGAGATTTTAGGTGGGAACTCTGTTTCTGATGTGTTGTACAGGATACTTAAACCGTAACTGTGACTGGGGAGAGAGGAGGATATCCACACTAACCCCAGCCTTGGGGAAAACTCCTCCCATGAGGATGGAGGCAGACAAAACCAGAGCACTTAGACCTGAGCCTTGGATGCCTCCCTCAGTTGTTAGGAGACCCAGAGAAGGGAAATAAGTTTAGAGGTGAGAGGTAACCAGCTGAGTAAAGTGGTTTCAGGGATATTGAGGAAGACCAAGTGGTCAAGAAAGAAGCAACACAAGTCTAGAACCATTCAAAAGCCCTGTCATAAGAGCTGAGCAGGGAGAATAAACCAAAAAAAACCAAACCTGTTGCGTCCAGTCAATTCTGACCCTCAGCGACACTGTAGGACAGAGTAGAACTGCCCCATAGGGTTTCCGAGGAGCGCCTGGTGGATTCGAACTGCTGACGTTTGGTTTAGCAGCTGAGCTCTTAAACACTATGCCACCAGGTTTTCCAGCAGGGAGAATAGGTGATTATGGAGCTACTGAGAGAGTTTAGGAGTCGTAGCTCTTGACCGCTGCGCCACCACGGCTCCAAAGGAGTCATTTTATTGGTAGCAATGATAGAGAAGTTCAGGGAAATCTTGTTCATGATGTTTAATTTGTAATAGCTGTAATTTACAGCACATTACTCTATGCCTAGTACTCTGTATATACTTTCGGATTTGTGCAGCACCCTTGCAAGCTAAGTGGTAGTATCATATTTCAGATAAGAACTGGTGCTCATGGAGGTGAAGCAATGTTCCTAAGGTAACAAGCTGATAACTGGCTCAGCTGGAATTCAGACCCAGTCTGCCTGACTTCAAATGGTTGAGAAACATGGGAAGTTGAAGGTGGATTTGGAGCAGTCTTTCATGTTTGGAAACTTAGGCTATTGTTTTTGTCTGAAGTTCCAGAAATGTCCTAGGAAGTTTCTTCTGGAGCATCAGGTTGCCTAACTCAGTTGTCCTGATAAGTTGAGGCCCTGATTACCCCTTCTGCATTTTTCTGTAGACTATCCTTTGCCTTGGGCCCGTTGTTGGCTCACAGAAGAATGTCAGTACAATAATGACTAAAGAACTCAAAGCACGTGCCTGTGTGTCTGGTTGAGTCTTCTGTAACTAAAGGACAGGCAACATGTGATACAGATGAAGGTAGAGGATAAGGATTACTTCTAGCTTTCTGTATGGAGTGGTGATCAAAGTCTCTGTCCTATTAGGAATGGCCCTGGGCTGGAATATATTAACTGGATATTCAGTGTGTTAGCTGTAACATATTAACTAGAATCTAGGCCTGGCGAGACCAGCCATTGGAGATTGTAGGATTCAAAACTATCTCTTTCCCATCTTACACAAAGTTAAATTCCAGGTGTATTAAAGAGACCCATTAAAAAAGTACCAGAAGAAAAGTGAATTTATCTCAGAGTAGGAAAGACTTTAATCATGAAAGCAAACACAAACCATAAAGGAAAAATTGATGATGTCTACATACAAGTTATTGGAGCTCCTGGGTGGTGTAAATGGTTAAGCGCTCAACTGCTTTATTATGAGCTTATCAATCTTTAAAAAGTTTAATTAAGAAAAATATTTAATTTACCTATTATGAGATCATCAGTCTTTAAAAAGTGGTTATACCTGAGCAAGCCAGGAATTCAGAGGAAAGATCATCGTTAATCTGATGTATGACTACAGCAAATCTTGCATCTAAATAAACATTTACCAACCAGCCTCAGCTTTCATTATATTTCAGTTGCTGGTTTATGTATCTTGATTATTTCAACATTTTTCTGATACTTTTTAAAATTTCATTTCGCTACTTGTTTTAATCCTATGCCTTATTTTATAATACAAAAATGAGATATTTCTTAAGAATTTTTGTCAATGGCTTTTTTCTATTTTAAGCTGTTTGTGTACATATAATTTTTTAAGCATTCTGCAAGTTTTAGAAATACGAAGTTACAGAAAACTAATTAAAATCTTTTTTGGCATATTCAGTAGCTCCTCTACAATGAATTCCTTGATGTAGAATTGTTGAGTTGGGGGATATAGTTTTTAAAGACTTCTAAAGCACTGAGAACTTGCCCACTATAGGGAATTGGGAGAAGCAAGAGAACAAATAGAAAAAAAATATTAGGGTTGATTTAGAAAATAGTTCAAGTTGGGTTTAGTTAGTTGGGAACCCTGATTAACAGACTGAAATCTTATATCTTGCAGATGCTGTTGATGCAATAATGAATGGCGAATACTACCAGGTATAGAGTACTCTGATTATGTTGAATGATAGTGGTCAAGCATTTTCCTTTCCTGTAATTTGAATTGATAGACCTACAGAGACACTCCATTCATTTGACTTTCCTAGGTGTGCTAGTAGCTGGAATGTTATCTACCAAAGTGGAGAATTTAAAGAGAAGAGGTATTGATAGGAAGAGCACTCTTTTATGTTACCGGCCTGGCCCTAGCAATATCAGCTTTATTTTCAAGGAATGACCCTTTATGATGATGATATGGCTAATTTGAACACTGTGTTCCAGGCACTGTGTTAAGCATTATTTATGTTTAGTCTTATTTAATTCTCACAACAACCTGAGGGATATGTACTCTTGCTGTTCCTATTTTGCACATTAATAAACTGAGGTACACAGTGATTAAATCAAATGTTTAAGGTGACAAAAGGTAATGTATGGTGGGGGCCAGAATTTGAACCTTTTAGATTGTATTGGAGGGAGGGGGACTGGGTATCTATGATGACCCCCATTATTTTCCCTCTGTATTACTAAACTTTTAGTTGCCAGCCCTGTTTGCACTGACATAAACAATAAAAGGAACTTACAGGTTCCTGTAATTGAAAGAGCTCCAGGATAGGCCCGGTGTGCTTGGACCAGGACTCTGGCTCAGCTTCTCTAGGATGCTTTCCCTCTGCCTACTGTGTGTGACTGTTTTGTATTGAGGCTTTTTCCCTTGTAGCAGAATGGGTACAGCAGTTTCAGGCCTTACATATGCTCATCACATTATCTAGAACAAGATGGGAGCTTTCCCCTCTTCTCCCAACCTCCAAACAAAAGTCTTCATTTCCCTCTGGACCTACCAGAAATAATCACCGTAATTTGGGGGAATAACCTGGTGATTTGCTTATGTGTGAGTTTCTGCCCATCCCTGAACTAATTAACTGTTGGTGAGAGGGATGAAATTAACCTAACTGATTTAGACCAGGGGTGGGCAGACTTTTTCTGTAAGGGGCCAGGTACTTTGTCATTGTAATGTAAGAGCAGTCAAAGACAGTATGTAAATGAATGGGCATGGCTGTGTCCCAGTAAAAGTTTATTTGCAAAGACAGGCAGCTTGCCTGGAGCATAGTTTCCAATCCCTGGTTTAGGAGTTCTGAGACAGAACTGGGTTCAGATTCTGACTTTATCATTTACGAGCTGTGAATTTGGACATGGCCATTTCCCTGTGCTTCAGTTTAACCCCCTGACTGTGAAATGGGAATAAAACTTAACTTACAAGGTGGTTGGGAGATAAAGCTTTTATGTGCCTGGCACATGGAAAGTGCTGGTAATTTAGTTATTAATACTTTAAATAATCCTTTTTCTATCTTTGTGTATAATCTCATTGGGTTAACCTGGTAGCATTCCCTGGTTCGGCAGGTGAAGTAATTCTGTAAAGATTAACATCTGTTTGAGTGTTTATTAGTCTATTTTGTTAACCCTCATATCTTCCCCATTACAAAGAAGAGTTTCCCCCTACTTCTGACTTTACATTTGGCTGCTTTTTTACCCTTCTGTTCCTGGGTGTGACTGTAGTAACTATGCATTTTCTTTTGGACTCTGTTTCCTAGAATGCACTGTATTTTGATCAGGTAGTATTAGTGACTTTTCCCCCACATAGCATAATAGCGTTTAGAAGTCTTAAGTTCTAGTCCTTGTTCTGCTGTGTACTTAACCTCTGTTACTTTGAAGATACCACTTAATCTCTGTGACAGAGGAGAAAACTAAAACTGGTAACATTGTTTCCCCAATAAGTCCTTTCTCCCCCCACCCAGCTTTTCTATCCCCAACTCAGGTTCCATTTGTTAATACGTAGGATAACAAGTACTTAGCGTCCTTTGTGGGATTGTAAAAATTAAGTGCAGTAATGTTCAAAGCACCCTATCGGGATGTAAGCACCATGTTGGCATGTAAAGTTATGTTGTTGCTTTTAAGGTAATAAGTCTGTTTATAACCTTCCTTTAACATTTTACAGTAGCCACCAGTTCTGTATATAACCAGAGGTTCTAACTTGGATGGAGTGCATTTCAGGAAGGAGTTTTTGGTACTGATAGAGCACATTTGTGTTTTGTGTTAAGGAGAGTAATGGTCCGACAGACAATTATGCAGCTATCTCACAAGTGGATCGATTGCAATCAGAGCCTGAAAGTATTCGGAAATGGAGAGAAGAGCAAACGGAACGCTTGGAAGCCCTTGGTAAGGAATCCCTTTCTGTCGTTGGGTGTCTGTTTTCAGTGGAATAGTTGACCTTGACTCACTTTTATCTCTTTTTAATTTGAGTTAGCCATAATATCCTTGTCTGCTCTTTGAGAAGATAACTTTCTCAACTGTAAAGTCACAAGGCCGCCCACATGGAGGTGCTTAATTACAGGTCATTTTTTGAGGAGTAGGGCAGCCCAGGGAGCCCCCAAGTGCATCCTCTCCTTTCACAGGAAGAGCAAAATGGTCCTGTCAAAAGAACAGTGGACTTGGATTGAAAGGCTGGGTTCAAGGCCCAGCCTTAACCAGCTGCGGGCACTTGATTTCTCAAACCATTTAGAGTATCTTTTTTCACGTGTGAAGTAGGAGCAACATTACTGACCTCAAGGGTAGTCTAAAGTGGTATTTATGAGAGTACTTATAAACTTGAAGGTATTATATCCAAGTTGTGCCAATTGATGTCCCCCGAGTCTGTGACATTTGCTTTTCACAGTCTAGTTGTCATTTGGAGGTTGAGTTTAAGATAACACTTAAGAGAGAAATGTGAGATGCATTAGGAAATGTACAATATGTCTTTTTTTACCTTAACATCCCTGTGAGATTAGTTTTTATATTTTTATGGGTGAGGAAAGCAAACATCATAGGTAGAATAAGTTTTTGAATCACATAACTCAGAAGTGGTAGAGCTAGAGTTTTAGCTGAAGTCTACCCTACTTCAGAGTCCTACTCATTCCTTTCCCCTACATTGTTTCCTAAACACATGTAATGTACACGGCCATCTGGCCAGGCAGGCAACGCCTATGATCAGTGGCCACTAGCTTGGCCTTTGGTGACAAGATGTGTACATATGGAGTGTCACCTGTTGGTTCAAGATAAGTAGAGACTTGATGTCTGTACATGGATGGCTGGGTTGGAGAGGTATGGTAGAAGTGTAAGAATGTAACACATGGTGTGTTCCTTGCTCAACTTTTACTTAAAATTTTCAAACACAGAACAGTTGAAAGAAGAGTAAAATGAACGTTGTGTACCCCCTAGATTCAATAATTGACATTTGGGTTATCTTTATATAAATGAAGCATGTATGTATATGTTTTATACACACACAAACATGCACCTTTTCTTTTTTTTTTTTTGGCTAATCCACTTTAAGATACAAGCATCGTATACTTCATGCCTAGTATTTCATTTTCCTACAATGCCAGCAGTATTACAGAACCATTGAAAAGAAATGATTCCTTATTTTTCAGATACGGAGACTAAAATCCAGAAATAAGAAGGGACTTAACCCAGATAACACAGCCAGTTAGTGCCGAATCTATTGTCTCTCTAGTCCAGTTTGTGTGGTTTTCAGAACAAAGAGCACACTTATGTTTGAACTCAAAAGAAGTTTCTTTGATGATGGAAATAGTGTATTTCAGTGTTGTTCAATATGGTAGCCGCTAGCTACATATTGCTCTTGAACACTTGAAATGTGGCTAGTGTGACTGAGCAACTGAATTTTAAATTGTGTTTAATTTTAATAGCCATATGTGGCTAGTAGCTACTGTATTGGATAGTGCAGCTTTAGAAAGATGAAAAAAAGTCTTCATGGTGCTAGCTGCCTTGATCCTTGCTTGTCTTTCTTTTTGTGTGTCTTCTGAGTAGGCTTAAAGGTAAGATTTAGCTGGTATTAGTACTGCTGGAGTATTTTTCATGTTACAGAACCCAACTTTATCTTTTCTCTTTCCCAAAAGTTTAGCATAGCTTGTTTTCTCTGTAAAGAGAGTATACTTTGATGTCTGCAAGTATTTCACTTCCTTTTTCAATTATCAAATTGGGCACTTTGGGAATATTCCATGAAATGCTGTTTTCTTAACTCAGGATGCTTTGAAGTAAGTCAGACATTTGGCCCTCCATTCCAATTGAATTGAATTGAATTAAATCAGCCCATGAACTAAGTGTTTCATCAGTTTCACCTTTTGTCTTTGCAAGAACTGGGAGAAAGCACAAGATCCTGAAATTAGAGAATCAGTGTCAAAGTTATGGTTTTCAACTTCACTACCTGCTGCATTCTCAAAGACTTTACTTTTCTGTGAGGGTGGCCAGAGAAGACGACACCTGTTGAAGTGTCCTGTTCTCTAAGGGGGTTCTTCATCCTTTCCTTCCCTTTCTCTCTCCTGTACTCAAAGAGATTGCATTAAGGCTTGGATCTTTGTCCTATCAAACTAAGCATTTAAGAATTCTAAATTCTTATTGCCAGTGACTCTTCATAAATCTGTAAAAGCAAGAAGACAATTTAAATGGACTGTTTTATGCAGTAACTATAATCTGTGCAGATGGTCATGACTTTTATTTAAATTAGTTTGTTAGAGATAAATTTACATGATATAAATTTTAAATGACTGTTAGAATACACTGAAAGAAAACACTTTCCAATCAAAAAATAATTGTTTGGATGTAATTTCACCACTATTTTTTTTTTTATTTTAAATCGTGATTTAGGTGACAGTTTATAGAGCAAATTAGTTTCTCATTCAAAAATTTATACACAAATTGTTTCATGGCATTGGCTGCAATCCCACATTATGTCAGCACTCTCCCCCTTTCCCTTTCTACCCCAGGTTCACCGTATTCATTCATCCAGTTTTCCTGTCCCCTCCCACCTTCTTGTCTTTGGTTCTGGGTAGATGTTGCCCATTTGATCTTGTGTACTTGATTGATCTAAGAAGCATGTCCTCATATGTGTTATCGTTTGTCTTATAGGCCTGCATAATCTTGGGCTGAAAAATGAACTTCGGGATTGGCTTCAAATCTGAGTTAGAAGGGTATTTGGGGGCCATAGTCTTGGGGCTTCCTCGAGTCTTTGTCAGACCAGTAAGTCTGGTCCTTCTTGTGAGTTTGATCATTTGTTCTACATTTTTCTCACCCTGTCCAGTCCCTTCTGTTGTTATCTCAGTGAGAGCAGTTGGTAGTGGTAGCCGGGCACCATCTGGTTCTTCTGGTCACTGGGTTGTGTAGGCTGTGGTTCATTTGGTCCATTAGTCCTTTGGACTAATTGCTCCCTTGGGTCTTTCTTTAGTTTTTTTCCCTGTTCTAGGGTTGCTATGGGTCAGAATCCACTTGACAGCAACGAGGTTTTTTTTTTTTTCATCTGGACTAGAAGAGACCAATAGTTGTATCTTAGATGGCCACTTGCGAGCTTTTAGGGCCCCCCAGACACTACTCACCAAAGTAGGATGTACAACATTGTCTTTAAGAACTATGTTGTGCCAGTTGACATAGATGTCCCCCAAGTCTATGGTCCTTAGCCTTCAAGCCCGGAAACTTCATCCGTGGGGTATTTAGTTATGTCTGAGAGGTTTCCCTGACTGTTGCGCTTGTGTGCTCTGTTGTCTGTATTCATATATGAGGAGCACCTATAGTCATGTATTTAGAAATTTCCACCTCCGAACCTGTATCTACCGGTGGGTGTGTTCCCTCACCCCTCCCTCACCTCTTGACATACCTGTCCATCTGTGTATTTATTTGTAGATTATTGATTCTGTTGTTGCGGGGATTTTCCATGCTGTAGTAGTTACCACAGTTGTCCTTTATTCCTTCGTTCTTCTCAGTGTCCCCTCTTGCCTTGGTCATGTTGTGCTGACTTCTCCCATATTGGGTATTTATTGCCTTTACTTCACCATTAACTCATGTCTACTGTCTCTTTGGTAATTTTCCCTCCCTCCCCCTCCCATCCCTGGTAACCATTAAAGAGTCTTTTTTTTTTTTCCCTGTGTATAACCTTTTTGTTGTTACTTTATAAAAGCTGTCTCGTACAATATTTATCTTTTGATGATTGACTTACTTCACTCAGCATGATGCCCTTAAGATTCATCCATGTTGTGAGATGTTTTGTGGATTCATCATTATTCTTTACTGTTGTGTAGTATTCTATTGTATGTATGACCACAGTTAATCTGTTCATCTGTTGATGGGCACTTAGGTTGCTTTCACCTTTTTGCTATTGTGAGTAGTGCTGCAATGAATATGGGTGTGTATATTCGTATCACGGCTCTTATTTCTTTGGGTATGTACCTAGGAGTGGGATTGCTGGATCATATGGTATTTCTATTTCTAGCTTTTTGAGGAAGCACCATACTGTTTTCCATAGTGGTTGTACCATTTTACATTCCCATCAGCAGTGTATAAGAGTTCCAGTTTCCCCACATCCTTGCCAACATTTATTATTTTCTGTTTTTTTTTTATTAGTGGCAGCAATGTTGGGATGAGGTGGTTTCTCATTGTAGTTTCGATTTGTATCTTTCTAATTGCTAATGATAATGAGCATTTCTTCATATTGTTGTTAGTAGCCTGAATGTCTTCTTTGGTGAAGTGTCTGTTCGCATCCTTTGCCCGTTTTTTAATTGGACTATTTGTCTTTTTTTTTGGTGAGGTGTTGGAAGTTTCCCATAAATTTTAGTGATTAGACCCTTGTTGGATATTTTAGAGCCAAAAATTTTTTCCCAATCTGTAGGTTCTCTTTTTTTTTTTTTTTTTTTTTTAATTCAGAAAACATATTTATTGTTTTGTGCTGGTTTGGAAACTTCTCTGATATCCCAGCAACTTTTTACATTAGCAAAGCAAGTCCTAGGAACCTACTGGAATTGCCATATTATTTGGTAGTTTTTGTATTCAAACTTCAGAGTTTTTACCCTTGAATCATGATCACGCTTATCTATGGCCAGAGAAAATAGACCTTTACTCTTATTTGCCCTTTTAAGGCAATAAACGTGATAAGATTTCTTTTCACTGGGGCGGTTTCCTTAGTTCAGACTTCCCTTATTTTATTTTATTTTTTAATAGCATAAGTTTAACTTGGCAGGTTTTTCCTCCAGTGACAACATAACTACTTCCACTACCTGTCTTTTCTTTAGAAGGCGTGTGACTAGCAGTACATCATCCTAAACAGTCAATAAATAATGTTTGTGTAAATGAAGCTCATTGTAGGTTCTCTTTTTACTGTTTCGGAGAAGTCTTGTTGAGCATAAGTGTTAGTGTTTAATTTTTAGGAGATCCTATTCAGTTCATTTTCACCTTTGTGTGCATTTTTAATTATGTTTAGTATTCTGTTTATACCATGTATTAGGGCCGCTAGTGTTGTCCATAATTTTTCCTGTACAGTCTTTATGGTTTTAGTTTATATTTAGGTCTTTGATCCATTTTGAGTTAGTTTTTGTGTATGGTGTGAGGTATGGATCCTGTTTCATTTTTCTTCAGCTAGGTATGCGATTTTGCCAGCACCATTTGTTGAAGAGACTGTCTTCCCCATTTAATAACCTTTGGTCTTTTGTCGAAGATCAGCTATCCATAGGTGGATGGATTTACATCTGGGTTCTCAGTTCTGTTCTGTTGGTCTGTGTGTCTGTTGTACCAGTATCAGGCTGTTTTTGACTACTGTGACTATACAGTAGGTTCTGAGATCAGGTAGTGTGAGGCCTCCTACTTTGTTGTTCTTTTTTAATAAGGCTTTACTTATTTGGGGCCTCTTTCCCTTCCGTATAAAGTTAGTGATCAGTTTCTGCATCTCGAAGAATGCTGTTGGGATTTGGATTGGGATTGCATTTTATATATATACATATATATCGCTTTGGTAGTACTGACATTTTCATAATGTTTTCCTATCCAAGAGCATGGTATGTTTTTCCATTTATGTAGGTCTGTTTTGGTTTCTTGCAGTAGTGTTTTGTAGTTTTCTTTGTATAATTCTTTTACGTCCCTGGTTAGATTTATTCCTAAGTATTTTATCTTTTGGGGGGCTATTGTAAATGGTCGTGTTTTCCTGATTTCGTTTTCACAGTTGTCTATGTTGATGAAGAGGAACCCAGCTGATACTTGTAGGTTAATCTTGTATCCTGCCACTTTGCTGAATGCTTCTGTTAGTTCTAGTAGCTTTCTTGTGGAGTCCTTAAGATTGTCTGTGTATAGAATCATATCCTCAGCAGATAGGGATAATTTTATTTTTTCATTACCAATGTGAATGCTCTTTATTTCCTCTTCTTGCCTTATTGCTCTCACTAGGACTTCAGATACAATGTTGAAGAAGAGTGGTGATAAAGGGCATCCTTGTCTTGTTTCTGTTCTTGGGGAATGCTTTCAGATTCTCTCCATTGAGGATAATGTTCGCTGTTGGTTTTGTAAAAATTCCCTTTATTGTATTGAGGAATTTCTGTTCTATTCCTATTTTGCTGAGAGTTTTTTATGAGGAATGGATGTTGGACTTTATCAAATGCCTCTTCTGCATCCTGTTGATATGATCATGTTCTTTTCCTTTGTTTTTAGTTATGTGGTGGATTATGTTGATTGATTTTCTAATGTTGAACCAACCTTGCATGCCTGGTGTGAATCCCACTTGGTTGTGATGTATTATTTTTTTGATGTGCTGTTGTATTCTACTGGTTAGGATTTTGTTGAGAATTTTTGCATTTATATTCATGATGGATATTGGTCTGTAGTTTTCTTTTTTAGTGGTGTCCTTGTCTGGCTTTAATATTCGGGTTATACTGGCTTCATAGAATGAGTTTGGGAGTATTCCTGCCTTTTCTATGTTTTGTAATAGTTTGAGTAGAATTGGTGTCAGCTCTTCTCTGAATGTTTGGTAGAATTCTCCAATGAAGCTTTTGGACCAGGGCTTTTTTGTTGTTGTTGGGAGTTTTTTTTAATGACCTTTTCAATTTCTTCTATTGTTATGGGTCTGTTCAGATTTTCTACCTCTGTTCATGTTTAGGTAGGTGGCGTGTTTCTAGAAATTTGTCCATTTCCTCTAGATTTTCAAATTTGTTGGAGTATAATTTTTCATAGTATTCTGTTATGATTTTATTTCAGTTGGTTCTGTAATTTCACCACTGTTGCCAAGGAGACCTTACATTTTAAATTTGCTGTTTTCCAGTCCCTGTCTATGTGGTACTGTCACCCCACAGCGTCTCCCATTGCATCATAGCATCCTCCATTCCACACATGTGAGTAATGCCATGGACAGACATATCAGAAGTTTACTGTGTCTACCTTATAGTCATCAGTGGAAAATCTGAGTAAAATGATTCTCCTTCTGATTGATAGGTCGCCTTTTGATAAGTTAGATAACAGGATAAAAGCCTTTTATAACATGAAACTTTGGAGGAGTTTTTGGCTGCTGTTAGGCTATTTCTAGTTGTGACAGATACAGCCTTCTGCAGGTTGTTAATGTAAGACTTTTCTTGCAAAGACCCTAAAAATGTCCAGGAATGCTTCATTTTTCTTCCTTTCAAGTGGTTACTTGATACCACCACTGTTTTCTACTCTGCTTCTCCAAAGATGCTGATTATAGGTTGGACTCTTGCACTGCAGTTTTAAAACTCTGTCTGGATCACTGGTGACCACCTTCGAGCACATCCTATCATTATTCTAGACTTGCTTCCCTTTCTGTCCCTTCTTTTGGAGGCAGCATCATGAAGTAAGTAAAATGTGAGCTTTAAAGTCAGACCTGGGTTTGAGTCTTGGCTCTGCTGTTTACTGTAACCTTAGGAAGGACACTTTAACTTTCTGAGCTTTAGTTTTTCTCACTACTGAAATGAAACTAGAGTTTACCTTCTTGGGATTGTTGCAAAGATTAAATGAAATGTCTATAAAACACTACCAGAGAGGATGTCCTTAAAAATGTGTTTAAAGTAAAATATGAGGGTGACTTCAGTTGTCAGCTGCACTAACAGGTATGACTTGTATTTCTTTATCTCCCACTCTTTACTGGTCACATATGTCGTTTCAGCTAAATTCCTTAGGAAAACCCACATTTATTCCTAGGAAAAAAAAAAATCTGCCTGAAGCCTTCAAGAAAAGGAGGGCGTAGAGAAATCAGTGTGGCGTTGTGAAAAGTCTGTAATCTTGATAAATGATGAGAATCAATCCAGTCTGGCAAATCTAGGTGTATGTTTTCTCTCATTTCTAGAGCCTTTTGGTTAACTCTTAGTGATCCCTACCCACACCTACTGCAGTTCTCTCCATTTGGAGGTGTTATAATTGTTTTTGTTTTTTTAAGTTCTGTCCTGGCTCTGAGACAAACTCATTATGCAGTCTGAATAGATGTTTTGTGGTCCTCTCCAACTCTAATAGTCTATGTTCTACCACTGTAATAACTCACAGCTTCATCACAGAAGTGCTTTATCACGTTTAGTAACGAGTTCCACCTTGTGTTTTACAAAACCATTCATTGTCAGACCTGGGGTATGGAATATATTTTGTGAGAAGAGTTAAGGATGATCTAATATGCACTAATATTGGCAATGTTATTAAAGAATCATCCATAATTGGTTTTTCCCCAGTTGGTGCCCCAAAATACTTTTTTCTATCGTAAGTCAGTGGGTATTTTCATTCTCCTCCCAGCGCACACACATACAAAACATAACCAGTAATCAACTAAGGTATTGGTGACTGGGATAAAATGTGAAAAATAAGAATAGGATCATTGAGCTCAATAATTGATTGTACTAACAGGGAAAATAGACAGGATTTTATCTCCTTGTCCTCACTATGCCCCAAACGCACACGAATGTGTACGCACCCACTCACCGTAAATTCAAGGAGAACAAAATAAACTGATGAAACTAACTTAAATTTGTATTTTGCCTCATTTGTATTGCTTTTCTTTTCCCTTCCTTCAAAGATGCCAATTCTCGGAAGCAGGAAGCAGAGTGGAAAGAAAAAGCAATCAAGGAGCTAGAAGAGTGGTATGCAAGGCAGGATGAGCAGCTACAGAAAACAAAAGCAAACAACAGGTTAGTCCATGGGGGTTCTATCACAGTTTATTTTCCAGGATTGGATCAAATCCATTTTCCAACATCCAGTCTAGGTTTTCTGCTGCTGCCTCTTTTAGTGTGAAATGTCTTTTGCGGGGTTTTGAGAAAAGTGCTTGAAATAAGGGTTGCAAGTCTTTTCTGGGTCTTGTGAGCATAATTCAGCCTGTCCTTTAGTCATCCCAGTTGTAATAAGTTTAACTCTTAAGTAAGATCTAGATTAATATGCATCACCTATAAAACCCTGGTGGTGTACTGATTAAGAGCTATGACTGCTAACCAAAAGGTCGGCAGGTCGAATCCACCAGGCACTCCTTGGAACGTCAGTGGGGCAATTCTACTCTGTCCCTAATATAGGGTCTCTGTGAGTCGGAATCGACTCGACGGCAACAGGTTTGTTTTTTTGTTTTTTTTATAATGATACGCAGTGGAGCCCTGGTGGCGCAGTGGTTAAGAGGTTGGCTGCTAACCAGAAGGTTGGCAGTTCGAATCTACCAGCCGCTCCTTGGAAACCTTATGGGGCAGTTCTGCTCTGTCTCGTAGGGTCACTATGAGTCAGAATTGACTCGACAGCAATGGGTTATAATGATATGCAGCTAAAGGAAAAGTTATTTCATGGATTAAGTCCATGTATAAAAATAAAACCCTGAAATGAAACGTCAGTTTCCTGGATATACCAGGATCTTATTTCTTTCAAGATGATTATACACTTGGCCACATTGCATCCCTTAAATACAACCCTGCCCTCTGAATGCTGCCTCATGAAGCGGTCTGTTGACTGCGGAATGTGCTTTTAATTAGGTAGCAAGGATGTTCCAACACAGTGACTTCAGAAATAAGGGTTCTCTGGGTGTTTATCTATGCCTAAGAAAATCTTGAATTAACTTTAAAAATGTTCTTGTCAGAATATATTTCAGTCACTCATAGTGAAGGTTAAATAGTTGTGGGGAGAAAACACGTTCATTCTTGTATCACCACCAGTCAGCAGCTGTGGTCTTTAATGCTTGCCACTTGGGTCCGTCTTGGAAGTAGCTTAGAGAAAGAGAGGCATAGGCAGAGTTGCTCACCTCACTGTGGACAGATTGCCCTTCTTTCCCCTGCTGACTTCAAAGCCCAGCTGTCACTTACTAGTCAATCCTCTCACTTCAGTGTAAAGGCCGGCCTGACTTGGCCTGAGAATAGTTATAATTATCTGGGAATAGTTTTAATTATCATACTAAAGAGCCTGAGGTTCCTGTACTGCACAGAGGGAAGCAGGGGATTGGGCTACGTGCCGTTGGTCTCTAGCAGCTCTAGTAGAAGAGCATCTGCCCAGAAAAAGGGAGCTTACTGCCAGCCAGCGTGTTCCATTGTGGGGCAGCTACGACAGAACAGATTTACTCTTTTATACAGAAGCCCTTCAGCTGTTTTTCTCCCTTTGGTCATCCTTAGTTCTTCCTGCGGCCCCTCAGGTGCCAGGCTTGAGTCACCGTCCTGGCCACCTTCTTTCCTCTGGGGGGCGCACTCTCTAGGAGTGCCTGCCACACTCCGTTTGAAGTTGTGTGGCAAGTATGTTGGGGATTGCTCTCCGGTGGCGTCACCTGCACGGGGCTTCTGTTGAGCTCTTGTGGTCAGTATGAATTACTGACAGGTCCAGGCTCCTTTACCTCCTGTATTCATTCAAGATGATTTTCCTCCAGTTGCAACTTCCAGTCTGTAAAGAAAGATCAGAGTGGGTGCTTTGTGCAAGCACCATGTGAGGCCCTGCAGTGTCACCCTAGTGAGCAGCCTCGACATGGCTCTGTTCTGAGGTACTTTAAACCGGGCTGACCCTCCCTGTGCAGGGATCTTGATGCTCACACAACTTGACACACAGATTTTTAGACTTAAAAAATGATTATATTGGAAACAGTCTTCTCTTTGCAGACATTTTTTTCAAGCCAGTTTTGCTGAACTGTATTCCTTCTGTAAAGAAAGGGATACCTATTTATATACAGAATCAGTTGTCCTTGGAGAGAGTAATCACCCGCGTTTTTAGGAGCTTAGCGTCAAAGGTTGATTAGTCCCTCCAGGTATTGATTTATGGCTTTGGTACCTTTCTTTGGAAGAGCACTGGTGGTGCAGTGATTAAGAGCGTGGCTGCTAACCGAAAAGTTGGCAGTTCAAACCCACCAGCTGCTCTGTGGAACAAAGATGTGACAGTCTGCTTCCATAAAGATTTACAGCCATGGACACCCTTTGGGCAGTTTTACCCTGTCCCATAGGGTTGCTATGAGTTGGAATCAACTCAGTAGCAATGGCTTTTGTTTACCTTTCTTTACTTGGACTTGTAGAACGTTGGTTGGGTTGGTTGGTCTCATAGATGAACCTCTTGAGTTCCAGAGAAGGGAGGAGACTTGCCCACTACCCATTGAGAAAGTAGAGCTGAGATGGAAAACCAGGTCACTTGCCTTTCAGAAACCTTGCAGCACAGGGGGCTGTCCCTGAGTGCATAAAGCAGTGGCACACGAGCCACTGTCACCAGGGTTCCAAGGCAAAAGGGATGGTTTTTACTTTTTATTCCAATAATTCTTCAGGGTATGGGAGTGAGAGTCATTTAGAATCACTTTAGGGGACTTCTCGAATGGCATTCACCCTCCGCAGGAGATTTTGATATTGCTGACTCCCCTCCCCCATCCGTTTTGACTCTAAACTGTTTTAGAGTCTAAAGAAATAGGTCCCATTTACATATACACAGTAATTCATCTTTCTCATTGGCTGTCTAGAGGTAAATGGTGAATTTTTTTTTAAGGAGCCCTGGTGGCACAGTGGTTAAAGCACTTGGCCACTAACGAAAAGGTCAGTGGTTTGAACGAACCAGCTGCTCCATGGGAGAAAGATGTGGCAGTCTTCTTCCATAAAGATTACAGCCTTGGAAACCCTACAGGGCAGTTCTACTCTGTCTTACAGAGTCACTGTGAGTTGGAATTGAGAAAAGAAAATTGGGGTGCCCATTTCAAGCAAGTGTCATTCTCCCTGGATGACTCCTGCTGCAGCTGGATGTTAAGGGAACCCATAAATGTAAGGCAGAAAAGCAGAGAAGTTTGAAAGAGGAGACTTAGGGGTAGAAAGGGTCTATTTTTGTGAGTGTATCATCAGCCTCCTTCCTTCCAGAAGCCCCCAGTCAGCAAAGCATTAGGAGAACGTCTGTGCCGGGCCTTGTGTGGGTGGTGAGGCCACAGCAGTCAGCAGGCAGACTGGTCCTTGCCCTTGCAGAATCTAACATCTATTGGGTCAGGCTTCAGACTACATCTCCCTTCCTCCTGTTCTCCTACCGAGGCCTAAATGTCACTATACAAGAGCCATGCATTATTAAGTGACAACCTGTGGAAAAGAGTTCCCTTTTCATAGGAGTCAGTTGTCAGAGAATCAGTGACTGGCTCCTGCAGTTGTATATGTTCACTCACCAAGAATAACCCAGAACGCGTTCCCTTCCAAACCTTAACAGAAACATTTCCCCTGTTGCAGGAAGCTTTTGAGCTGAGACTTTACAGCCCTTTCAAAGCTTGTAAAAGTTTGGAAAATCCGTGATTCTCAGTGATGGTCAACATTTTTTTCTGTACCCACTTTGGGTTATTTATGGAAGGTTGGCATTGGGTGTAGGCCTTCTGAGCTTGCTGTGTGGTAGGACCAAAGGCATTCCTCCTTCTCTCCCTCTCCCAAGTTTCTCTGTGCCCCCCTTCCTACCTTGGCTGAGGATTGCTGCTTTTGGTTCCATCCGTCTGCTGGTGACGAACAAGTAGGTGGAGGGGTTGCCTGTTTGATGTGTGTAATTTTCTCTTTGTTCTGAGCCTGTAACCTTGACAGGCTGTGCTTGTCACTGACAAGCTCTGTAGTCTTAGGGCTAGCTGCAAAGAAGCAAAAGCCTGACATTCAAGCTTTTGTTGTCTTAAACTGATGTCTTGACAGGAGCCATTAAACCTTTATTCTCTTCCAGTAGGAGCAAGCTCAAGTTGAAATCAGTTAGGTTTAGCCCTTTGTGTAAACTGAAAGGATTATGGGTTTACAAGCTGGCCTGCCTTTTCTTCCCCTCCCACTCTCTCTGCCCACAAACAACTCTCTGTTTTCCTGCTGAGTCACTTGAGTTAATCAGACTGCTCTTCGTGCTTTCTTTAAATTTCCACAAAACACCACCTATGTTTAAGCCAAATGGGAAAGAAGGAGGAGTATGTATGAGTTTAAAATAAACTGAAATTAAAATTACTACGGCTTCCCTTCAAATAAATCTGTGCACGTAGGGTAAGGAGCAGGCATGATTATTCTTAAAGAAATGTCCCTTCCACTCCCCACCCCAAACCTGCCTGGCAAAGGACAGGGTCAGATTCCTTGAGGGAGGCTCTGTGCCCAGCCACAGTGGACAAGGCTGGGCTGGCTGAACCCAGGGATTTCACTTGGGGCAGCAGAGGGTCAAAGCCATGTCCCCTGCAGTGAAATTCCTCCACCCAGTGAAGGATGCCCTTTCTTTCTTGCCCCAGAGTCCTACCATTTTGATCCCCTTCCTGATGTGAGTGAGAGTTGAGGAGGGGCGAAGTTCTGGCCTCTAGGCTGTACCTTGTCAGAGCCAGTGAAGTCCGGCATGGAAATATTCAGAAGCTGCACCAGTCTCTTGAACAGTCTGTCTGATTCCGGGGCACAGACATCAAGCCAGTGCCAGAGCCAGGGTGCCTGGAGTTCTTTCTACCGTACCACTTGCCTCCAGCTGCTTTTGTCTCTAAGGTAGGGATTTGAAATGATGAAATATGTTCCCAGGATGCTGAAAATGTATCCTGCCCAGCCAGTGTGGAAAAGTAGTAGTTGGATAATCTAGAATAAAACTGACTAGCACATCTAGTGTTTGACAGCATTCACACCCAGTGATCTTTACTGAGACTAGCAGGAAGGTGGCATGGCTTCCTGAGCACACACTACCTGGGAAGAAGCCTTCATGTACAGGAAAAAGAGCCCTAGACTTGGAGCCAGGCAGCCCTGGTTGTGAGCTCTGGTGCCACTGTTGGGTAGCTGAGCGACTCAATTACCTCCTTTGTAAAATGCAGGTGAGAATGCTCAGAGTCACAAAGTTGTTAGGTTGAGGACTGAATCAGCATAATGTACATGAAAGGGCTTAGCCCGTAATTGGCTGCTTAATAAATGCTCGTTATTGCTGGTGTAAACCACCCAGAAGGAATGGAAGGTGCAGCACGCGCTCTGGCAAATCCCATGCAGGGTAGTCAGCCGGAAGCCTCGGCCTGCTGTGAGTCTCCAGTGCTGGAGGCCTCGCCAGGGTTAGGATGGAGCCCTGGGAGTCACTCCGCTATTGTGGATTTTAGATGTTTCTGCTTCTCAATGTTCTCTCTTTTTTCCTGCCTGCTTGCCTGCCTTTTGGACTTCTTGCTGTCTAGGGTGGCAGATGAAGCTTTCTACAAACAACCCTTCGCTGACGTGATTGGTTATGTGTATGTTGCAAAACTAATTCCTTTTCTTGTTTTGATTCTTCTACTTTTTGTTTAGAGTTAATGCTCCTTTTATGTCACAAGTTGCTTTGCTTTTTAAATTATTTCAAAGTGGTACTGTGGGGCTCCTAAGAGTTGATAAGCTGGGTTTATGATCCATTGATGGTCACAGGTCTTGCAGAATTATGACTTCTTGCACCTTTGATTACCATTTTTCATATTCAGGGTTTTGGAGGTGAGGAAAGCTAACTTCCTTTCCAAATGTGAGTCCTTCATGATCTGGTCTGGGAAGGGTTTGGGACTTGGGTGGACTCTTACTTCTTGCTGTTGCTGCCACCACTGCTGCTTCCAGTGCCCTGCTGCCTCCCTGCCCCTAGCTAGGAAAGAGAAGTCTCCCTATTTGGAAGGAGGTGAAAATCCCAGGAGGCTGGGAGCAGTGGGCAGCAGCACTTGCATTTCCTATACTTGGTTCCTTAAAAAATAAATAACTGGGGTTGGTTGCCTCTCCCTTGGGGCAGAAGAGTCCTGAGCAGAAGCGGGTGTCTCCGATGGGTACCTGTAGTTTGTTCTCTGTGGGCTTATATGTGGGAAATCGTTGTTTGGTGGCCAACTTCAGATGCCCTGCTCCCCACCCAAGCAAAAAGAGGCCCCCAGCTTTGAGGTCGAGATAGTCAAAGCTGACAGACACCAGCCATTTTGGCTCCTTTCCCCCTCTCTCCCCCCAAGAAAACTCTGTTCATGGTCTGGGAGAAAAAAAAACAACTTTCATTATTTTTTTAAGGATTCTCAATATGAGAGCAGTATTGCTAAAGACTTGAAAACAGTTCTCACTGTTTCCTCCTTAAAAATTGGGGCCATCTTTTATATGAGGTAGATGGAGGTGGGATGGAGGAGGAGAGGAACCTGTTGGAAGGGTGGGCAGTAGACTGAGGTCTGTGAAGCCTCTTAGGGCCTGTGACCTGGTGATGGTCATCCCTTTCAGAAGACAGAGCTGGGTTTCCTGGGCCCCTGGACGCATTTGCAATGAGACTTGTGAAATGCTGGACTTACAGGTGGTGGTTGATTGTATTTTTCACATCCTCTCTGGAGTAGAAATGGAGACTGGAAAGGTTGAGTCTGGGTTTGCTGGGCAGCAGGGTGGCCCAGCAAAGCCAGCTGCACGTTCCCAGGCATAGATGGAGTGGCAAGGGCATGTCTAGCTTACTGACCATCTGCATTGAGCTCATTCTCATTTTCTATATCTGACCTAAAGTTTTTCCTTGTTTCTTCTCTTCACCTTTAAGCACAAACATAAACCATCCTTGCTACAGCCTAGAACAGTTAAGTAAACCTTTCTCACTGCCCCTAACTGTGTGTGCCATGAAGTCGCAGTGTTGTAGTGGCTCTGGGCTTCAGCGGTGTTTGCCATGGCCATCCCTGTGATAGTGCCACCCTTCCCTCCCCACAGACCAGTCATTTCCATTGCTTTTGCTTTGCCCGTAATGCTTGTTGGAGTAGATGAATATAGTATGTCTTCCCTCCTCTTACCACTGTCCTTCCTGGGCTGTAGCTCCCACCAGTCAGTTCCCAACTGGGGTGGGCTGACGTTGATGTGAAAGAATGTTGGAGCAGCATCCTGCCAAAAAGAAACTAACATCAGCTTTCCTGCCAGAGTATGTCCTGAGTGGCCCAAGGCACCTGGCTGGAGGGAAAGTGGCAAACTTTTGGCTGAACTGTCCTAACAAAATCCTCTTCCAGAATGGCTTCAGTCTCTAGTGCCTGCTAGCATGGGAGCTTTGGTCTTGAATTCCTTTTGCTCTGCCCTGTTTCTCTCCAGCCTTAGGAAATGAATCCACGTTCTATTTTGCAATGACCTGTGGACTTTTTAGAAGTCTCTAAATTCACTTGAAACTCAGTACAGCCTAGCATAAACGACTGTTTAAGTTCTTGACCAGCCTGCTGCTTTGTTCTTGTTAATAAAAGCACTGTGTAGCTGGCTAAAGACTTGCTTTTTTACCACTCTGTATGGGCAGAGACGGAAAGAGTGAGCCTTGAACCAAACACCTGTATTCCAACATTTTACACAGCAGTCTGGGCACACTTGTCCCTGGGAGAGCTGGCTACGTGTCTGCCCCTGAGTCTGACCTGGGCCAGGGGCTGTTACTCTTTGGAAAACCAGAATGTCATTAAGTCAGGCATGAAGAGGCAGTTGCTTTTGTAACAACGCAGCCACGTAGCTCACAGGGGTTCTACATTAAACCAACAGATTCTGTTGTTGCTTCCAGGGCAGCAGAAGAAGCCTTTGTAAACGACGTTGACGAGTCTTCCCCAGGCACTGAGTGGGAACGGGTGGCCCGGCTGTGTGACTTTAACCCCAAGTCCAGCAAGCAGGCCAAAGATGTCTCCCGCATGCGCTCGGTCCTCATCTCACTCAAGCAGGCCCCCCTGGTGCACTGAAGAGCCGCCCTGTGGGAACACTACATCTGCAATATCTTAATCCTACTCCGTGAAGCTGTTCACAGTAATTGGATTAATTATGTTGAGTTCTTTTGGACCAAACCTTTTGTCTTTAGAGTTGATCATTGTTTGTGATTGCATGTTTCCTTCATCTGTGTTCTCCCTGGCATTCAGAGAGGAGGGGGGAGGAAGAGGAAGAAGGGAGGGAAACCTCCCAACAGTAGCCTCACTTGTGCTTTTGTGCATTATTCTGAGAATAAATTTCTGTTCAAACAATAAACATGAAGCTTCTTTATTGGCCTCAAGGTGTTTTGCAGTTTGGAGTGAGGTTTGAAGGAATGAGGAACTTCCTTTGTCATTTCTACAGCTGAGGAGGTATAGCCATTGGGCTCTCACCCCTGCCTTGAACTAAAACAGTCCCAAGTTTCTGTTTTCTTTGGTACCATTCTGTGGAAATTTTCATTTTGAAAGGGAGTTCCATGGCTAAAAATCAACCCCTTGTTGCCCCCTAACACATACCTGTGAATCCCCTTGCCAACCTAGACATTTTTTGCAGATGGGCTCTTGTCCCTGTCCCTTAGTGTAGGGTTTTGGGTAATGTTTCAGCAGGGATCTCTCTGGGTTATGCATACTATAGTAGGACCTTTATTACTTTGAATTCAGCCAGTAAACCTGGGTCAGGATGGCATTAGTGTGTGGCTGCTCTTAATTCCCTTAGCACATGTGGGGGTCTTTGCCATGCTTAGCACTTAGTTAATATTTCTGTTGTAAAATCATCTGGACGTGTGCTGTCCAGTACAGTAGTCATTAGCACATGTGACTATTTAATATGAAATTAAAAACACTTTTCTAGCCCTAGTCCCATTACACACGCACAGTAGCCACATGTGGTTAGGTGGCATCCAAAGCGATTAGCCCAGATTATACGTTTCCATTGTCCCAGAAAGTTCTGTTGGATTGCATCAACCTGCACACCAGCTGTGTCCACTAGACTGTTACATTCAGGTATCAATAACATTATGTACCCTCAGAACCTGGCATAGTACCGGACACATCTTAGGTGATAGTTTTAAACAGTATACCTCATTTCAGAGATCTGCTTATGTTGTTGTGTCCTGTCAAGTGGATTCTGACTCATAGTGACCCTACAGGACAGAGAGAACTACCCCATAGGGTTTCCTAGGTTGAAATCTTTATGGGAGCTGATCGCCAGGTTTTTTCTTCCAAGGAGCAGCTGGTGTGTTCAAACCACCAACATTTGGGTTAGCAGCTGCATGCTTAACCACTGTGCCACCAGGGCTTCTTGACCTGATACTATTTCCAAGTTGGAGATTGATGTAAACTGTTGATACCACTCTCAGGATAGGGTTAGGTCTTGCCATTGTCAAGAAGGAAAGTCCACAATCTCTTACATGTTAATCATGTTTGGTGGGGAGGGAAGCCTCCATTACTTTTCCTCCTTCCTTCCCCTTCCTTAGTTTGGTATTTCTTAATCTGGCTAAAGTCTTTGCCCATTCCTCCCCTTTAGCCACCCAGTGCAATCACTCACTGTTGTTCATGGACCATTTGTTACTTCGGGGTCTTGCTAATGCTATCCCCATTTCCTACCAGCTACATGTCAAAATCCAATTCAAGAACTAAAAGGCCACCTCCACAATTCTTTCCTTACTCCCCTTGGCCCTGTGAACTCCCATGGCCCTCATTAATCTTGGTATCGTCTTGTGTCGTCTGGATCCATCTTACCTCCCACACCAGATGGGCTTTATTGAGGGTGTAGGTGTAAATTTTAAAATGTCAACAAAGTCATTGTCATTCCCCAGACCAAGAGGTGACTGGACAATATGAGAAAAGTGATGCTATGTGACTTCTAAGGCTAGGTCGTAAAAGGCAATGCAGCTCATGTCTGGTTTGCTAGATTACACCTGCTGGTGACACCGAGCCACCATGTAAAAAGCTTTACTGCCCTCAAGTCGCCATGCTGTGAGGAAGCCCAAACTGGCTTGCGTGGAGACCAAATGGAGAGGCTGAGAAACTACATGCAGAGAAAGAGTTCTGGCCAGTCCCTAGGTACTGTAGCCTCCTGCTGTGCCAGCTCCAGCCACTGTCTAACTGCAAGTGCATGAGACACCCTGAGCCAGAACTGCCAGTGGCCTTTCCCAAATTCCTGACCCACGGAACTGTTTTTTAAGCCTTTTTAAGTTTTCAGGTTTTCAGTCACCTCATATGCATGTGAAAACTGGCCAATGAATAAGGAAGACTGAAGAAGAATTGACGCCTTTGAATTATGGTGTTGGTGAAAAATATTGAATATACCATGGACTGCCAAAAGAATGAACAAATCTGTCTTGGAAGAAGTACAGCCAGAATGCTCATTAGAAGCAAGGATGGTGAGAGTATGTCTCACATACTTTGGACATGTTATCAGGAGGGGTAAGTCCCTGGAGAAGGACATCATGCTTGGTAGAGGGTCAGCAAAAAAAAGAAAGACCCTCAATGAGATTGATTGACACGGTGGCTGCAGCAATGGGCTCAAGCACAACGATTGTGAGGATGGCATAGGTGTTTTGTTCTGTTGTACATAGGGTCACTATGAGTTGGAACCGACTCGATGGCACCTAACAAGTTTTGAGGTACTATGTTACATAGCAATCATAACTTCAGACTGTCTCTTACATCTAGCAATCGTAACTTCAGATTGTCTCTCACACCTGTATTACCCACGAGGCTTTATAAAAAGGGGGAGTTGGCCCCAGGGACTGCGTGTGGCTCAACATTGAGTTTCAAACCTCTTTTTGAGGCCACTTTGCTATTCATGGAACCCTGGTGGCACAATGGCTAAGCTTGGCTGCTAACCAAAAGGTCAGCAGTTCAGATCCACCAGCCGCTCCTTGGAAACCCTATGAGGCAGTTCTACTCTGTCCTATAGGGTCGCTGTGAGTCAGAATCGACTTGACACCAACGAGTACTAGTATGGGTTTTCTATTCATGTCAAATTTTAAGTGTTCTATAACAATGCTTTCTGCTTACTAATCATAGTTCTTTTTCATTAAGAAATCAATGCTATTAGGTACCTTTAAAGAAATTATGTAACCTTCAAAAGGTAAGCAACATACAATATAAATCTCTTCTGGGAACAGAAATGCTTTTTATAGAGGAAGTTAGGAGCAAAACAAAATATGACTGTTAGAATTTCCACGAAGAAATGTATTTATTTTTTCTTTAGAATTTGGCTCAAAACTTTAACAAATTTACATTAAAATAAATTAAGATTTTAACTTAATGTGATTATTTAATTATATGTAATAATTTATGTCAGGATATATTGGCCTATCCATGAACTTAATAAAAACTAAGATTTGCTTTTTGATTCAGTTCAGTCCTTTCAGTATTTGGTATGAAACTTGGTAGCAAAGCAGTTGTTTGGTGTACAGAGCAGTTGCAGATTTCACCAAGGAATGACTGATTCGCCTTCACAGTACACCATCTTGTCGGAGACACTGATGGCTGAGCAGACTAGCTTCCTTCACAGGAGTCATCATGGAATGTTTCAACAATAACCAGGAGATTATTTAAGGGCTGGCAGAGGTCTAGGAATCAGCCAACCTATTTTTCACATTGACCCACCAGGAAGGAAGGCAGTTCAAATGTGATCTTGAGTCCTTCAATTTATTTTATATGTTAACACTGAAACAATATGTTGTAGAAATTCTCAGGTTTTCCTAAAATGAAAAGAAAAGATCTGAAAAACATATGCATATGCTTTTTTAGATAACCTAAAAGTACCCGTAAGAACCTGTCACATTCCTAGACCAAATACTGTGCTGGCAAAATTTCCATAGCAGAGAGGAATATTTGATTAAATTCACAGCTGAGAGGGTCAAGGATACATCAAGTTATTTGCAAGTCAGATGTTCTTATTAAAGCTTTTGGTAGCCTGGAGTAAATTAGGGTATATTTTCATTTTGAAAGTGTTTTTTGAAAATGAGAGCTTGGGTGATTTCGCAGAAAAAGCACAGACGGACGTGGGAGTCAAATCCGGTTTCTCTCACTAGCCCCATAGCTATAGGCACATCACTTAAACACATTAAGCCTTAGTTTTTGTCTCTAAAATCAGAATTACGATATCTACCTCCTGGGTTGTGAGACTTCAGGATATTTATGAAGCACCTAGTTCAGAGCCTACCACACAGTAGGCACTTGATAAATGGTTGCTTTTAGTATTTCTTCCAGGTTGCAACTGATAACAAGAATTTCCTTGCCTTGGCCTTTGTATTTTGACACCAATGAAAGCACAGTCTTATTTAGCCAGAATTCAAATCTACAGATCTGGACACTATCATAACACATACAAACACTGCCCTAATAGACAGTCTAGGGTTATTTTCAACATAATATGAAAAGCTATCGGAGGGAGGAGTATGTGTGGCAAAGATCCTTTTGGGACAGTTAATCTCCTTTCGAGGGTTTAAGTCCCAGTGGCTTTCCAGCTGTCCCTAAGAAGATAAGGACAAGGTCACCAAGGGCACTGTAATTCATATCCCTGGTCTAAAGTCTATTCTGCTGGAATAATAACAAAATAACATCTTCCAACAAATAATATTTGGGGTGACAGATATATCTAATGTCTTGATTATGGTGATGGCTTCACATGCGTGTACATATGCCAAAACTTATACAGTCGGCCCTCCATATCCACAAGTTCCACATCCATGAATTCAAACAACTGCAGATAGAAAATATTCAGAAAAAAAAGTTCCAAAAAGCAAAAACACTTGAATTTGCCGCACACTGAACACTATGCTGAATCCACGCGAATGAAGTGATGCGTAGGCATACCCTGCTGTAGCCTCCATTTCACATATCCTCAGTCTCTCTCCAGCATTTGTTTGAGCATTGTTTGCCTCGTGTCTCATTTGTTCACTACTTGTGTGCACCCTTTGTTTCTGTGAAAAAATGGCTCCTAAAAAGCAATTAAGTGGTCAAAGCAATCCTTCAAAGGCTAAGAGGAAGCATAAAGTGCTATCTCTTGACGAGCTAATAGAAATCTTAGCTCTTTTGAAAAGTGGCATGTTGCTTGCCGAAGCAGGCCATAAGGTCGGTAAGAACAAATCAAGTGTTTGCACAATAAAGCACACAAAGGAGCTGAAATTCATGGAAGTGTTAGTGCTGCCCCTACAATGGCAAAATGGTCTTTCTGCTTGCAAAGACTGAGAAACCATGAAGCATGTGGCTAGAGGACATGTCACAGAAGCATATCCCTGTTGATGGCAAAACTATGTGTGAAGAAGCACTTAGCCTCTGAGTACTACTGTGAGTGGGTTAAGGAGGGCAAGAGGAAGGAGTTTCAGGCTAGTAAGGGATGGCTAGCTAGCTCTGTAAAGCGCTACAACCTCAAGAACTTCAAGATCATGGGCAAATCGGCATTGGCTGATGACCACGCAGCATCAGCGTTCCCAGAATAGCTCAAGAAACTCATAGAAAATAAAGGCTCCCTTCCAAAGCAAGCCTTCAACTGTGAGGAAACAACTATTTACACAGCATTTACATGGCATTAGGTATTATAAGTAATCTAGAGATGATTTTCAGTATACAGAAGGATGTGTGCAGGTTATATGCAAACACTATGCCATTTTATGTAAGAGACTGGAGCATCCGAGGATTTTGGTATCCGAGGGGGTCCTGGAACCAATCCCCTGTGGATACCAAGGGATGACTCTACTGTACACTTTAAAAATAGCTCAGTAAAGCTTTTTTTTTTAAAATTATTCGAGGGTTTCACAGTGAGATTTCCTTCTGTTCCCTGACTAGATAGATCTCTATCTGTGAACTGGGTTTGGAGTCAGAAGAGGAAGAATTATTAATCCAAACTCCCACCCCAAGCAAGGCCTGGTATATCAAGTAAGCATTTATATAGTAGCTCTTTTTGGCACAGAGAATTGTGACCGGTACTTACAGGGTTGGAACTGAAATGACCCCTATTAGGAAAAAGAGCAGCATCTACAAAAGGGGGGTTGGGAAAGGTGACTTCGGAAGAGAAGACAAAAAACAAAAATGCTTATTTCTCTTCCAAAGTCATCTGCTTTTTTAAAAAAATGCTAATCAAAAAGACAACAACTTGATTTCACTGTATAGTTCTGGAGGCTCGGCCCATGTCCACCCCGGGAGGCCTAGTAGATCCTGCGAGTTGTGTAGTCCAGGACCATGCTGGCAGCACCGAGCAGGGCCGGATCCATCAAATCCGAAACCACCACGTCCACGTCCTGAACTGAGGGCAAGGCTTGCTGGCGGATGACATCTTTGACAATGTGGATATAGTGATTGGCCAGGACTCCAGAGAGGATCACAAGGGAAGGATTCATTGTGTGCAGGATGTTCACAACTCCAAGACCCAAAGCTGTCCCAGCTACAGGAAAAGAAAAAAAAAGTTTAGGAGAGAGGCCAAATCAAAACCACCAAAGAGAAAGGTGAGCCAGCAGCCAGGTATGGTTTAAGTACATTCATAGTTGGTAATGGGAAACAGTATTTAAAGCTTAATATGTGAAAATGATCATGTTATACTCTGAAGTGAAAGAATCAGGGTATAAAATTATATATACTATTCCACATGATCTCAACTATGTAAAAAAAATGAATAGAAAGACTAGAAGGTAATGTTAACAGTGGATATCCTTGAGTAGTAGGACTTTTTCTTACTACTCTATTTCTCTAAATTTCCTATAAAATGAACAAATGTTGTTTTCATAGTTGTAAAACAAAACATGGAGCCCTGGTGGTGCAGAGGTTAAGAGTTCAGCTGCTAACCAAAAGGTCGGCAGTTCAAATCCACCAGCTGCTCCTTTGAAACCCTAGGGGGCAGTTCTGCTGCGTCCTATATGGTTGCTATGAGTCAGAATCAGTTAACTCGATGGCAACAGGTTTGGTTTTCATTTAAAACAAACCAAACCTGTTTAAAAAGGCAGTGCTGCCAAATACATGAATGTAATTCCCTTTTTCTTTCTCAGTAAGTAGGAAAAATACCTCTGACCAGACATGCCAGAGCATTGGTCCCCATTTGTCAGCGGACATGAGCCCTAGGATGTTTGAGGACGCCCCCTGTGGCAGAGCTGCTCGGAGCCCCACACTCACCCGTTCGTAAGATGCTCTGGGCCTTTGCATTGCCCAGTTTTGCAGCTTGGATGAGATGGAGTGCACCCACAGCTTCATCTTTTGGCACTGACATCCCTTCCACCAAGAGCAGGTCTTCTGTTTAAGTGGAGAGAGAAGGGCAAGCAGTAGTTAATAAGCTGTGGGCAGCCTGTGGGGAGGCCAGCCTTACAACTGTGCCTGTGGGCAGCAAGCCCCCAAGTAAAAAGACTCTTTTCATATTTGCAAAGCTTTTTATCATGCACAGATGTCCATATATACATTGCCTTCAAGGCTTTTGCTGCCCTCTTGCTACCTGGTAATAGTCCTCCACTCCGGCCATAGCCTCCTGCTCCTCTGGCTCCCTTGCTTTTGACTTCTAATATTAGAGAGAGTCCTCGAAATGTTCTTTTCTCCCCTCCCCTCCGAATTACCAGACAGACTCCTTCCACACTCACCTTCTTCCTTATTCATCCCAGGTGCAATGCTGCACTATTTGCCAGCACCCCACATTCTATGCAGTGTGGTGCAGCAGCTGAGGAACAACAGTTCAGTTCCCAGCTCTGTCACTACTAGCTGCATGACCGTGTCCATGTCACTTAACCTCTGTATGTTTCTTTCTTCTAGGAGATTAGAGTAATAATACCTACCCCTGCAGGATTGCTGTAAGGATTAAATGAGATAATGGACATAAAGTACTTAGTTAAATTCTGACCAGAGTAAATGCTCAATAAATCAGGTATTCCTGTTGTTATCTATAGTCCCTGTCTTTCTGTCACCATCACTCTGCCAGTCACCAACCCAGATCAATCCACCTTCCTAATCTGCTGTCACACTTGGGCTCTGGTGGGAGAAACACCCCAACCAGACAGACTACTACCTAGACACCAATTGGAGGTCTCCTATCTTCCCTGGGCCCTTGTAGCTGCCCTGGCCAGTTCTCCTTCCCATCCTCTCATTGCTCTACTAAACCTTCACCACCTCTTCCGGCCTAACCCTCCCCTCCACCACCACAACCATCAACAGATTTCTGTACTCCTGACCTCTCAGGGATACCCTTTTCTGTCCCCCATCTTCTGTTATTTGTTCATCTTCCCTCTTTCTTTCCCTCTCTTGTCCAAGATATCCCCATCTACCAGGGCTTTGGAGCTTTTCTCTTCCCACCTCTTCAGGGACTGTACTCTAAGGACTATAACACCCTTCTTCTCAACCTTCACACTTCTGTTCACACTGTTCCTTTCCATCTGCGTGTGCTGATGCGAATCCTTAAAGCACTTCTTCTCCGCTTATACAGGGTAGTGCAGGTAGCTTCTGCTCCCACTATTTGACTGGAACTTCAAGACATGCATTCACCCCTAAGCAGGCAAAAATTGGTCCCGGGGCAAAAAAATCTTATTCTTTTTATGTGTAAAACAAAGATATACATACATACATAAACAGATATACAGTATACCTGTGGTATTAACATTTCATGGAGGGGAGTTATTAGGGAAAAACAGGCTGCTTAGGGGGGTGATAATGAAAAAATCTTGAAGAATAGTTTTAAGGGCTTCAAATGATGTCCCTGTAGCCAAATCTAATGAACTTCTCTGATTGTCTCTTAACTGCAGCACTTAATACTACTGACTACTCCCTCCTCCTTGAAACACTCCCTTTTTGGCTTGTGTGGCATTACCCTTTCCTGGTTTTCCCCCCGTTTCTTTCCCTGCCCCTCAAATGTTGATGTTTCTCAGGATTCCACCCTCCTGGTCTTTTGACTCACTCCCTGGGTCTCATTCATAGGTTCAACTACCACCTTGATGCCGACAATTCCAAAATTCCCATCTCTAGCCCAGTCATCTCCCATGAACCATAGAGCCCTGTATCCAGCTGTCCCACAGGCACCTGGCCATCATCTTCCTGTTCTTCTCTTATATCCCCAACCCCAATTTGTCCAACCAGAAAGCTGGAAGTCACTCTAGAACTGTCCCACTCAAAGCCATCCTCCAAAAGTTACAGTTTAGTGAAGAATCTAAAATTTAGGTCTGACGTCTTTCCTCTAAAAGTTTTCAATGGCTTTGAAAAGAGAGATAGACAGCTCCATGATAATAGTAGGAGACTTCAACACACCACTTTCGGTGAAGGGACAGAACATCCAGAAAGAAGCTCAATAAAGACTCAGAAGATCTAAATGCCACAATCAACCAACTTGATCTCATAAGACATATACCAAACACTCTACCCAACGGCAGCCAAGTATACTTTCTTTTCTAAAAGTTTTCAGTGGTTTCTCCATTACCTGCTGGTCCTGGCTTACCTCTTGCTACACTACACTCTGCCTTGCCCTTCATGAACCAACACTACTGAAGAGCTCCCTTAGCCATCCAAACTTGCCTGGCTGATTCTACTTCTGCTCTGACTCTTAGCCCCCAGGACAGTACGCTGATACTCTTATCCCTGTATGCAGAGGGCGGGGAGGGAATTTTGGTGTCATTCTTATATGCACTACATTCCTTGGCCATCTTTTGTCATTACACTGGGCACACTATTATAATGATGTTAATTGACTTTCTCTTGCATTACACCAGAAACCATGCTGACTTTCATAACATGCCCATTAATAGCTTTAATTCAAACAGCTCTTTCAGGGTTAAAAAATTATAACATGTCCATCCATTTATTTCTTCATTAAAATGTGTACAAGTACCCACCCTGTGCAAGAGGCCAAGAAAACAAAGATGAAAGAAATCTTCCCCACTTTGTTAGAGGTCAAGACCCCTGTCCACCTTCACGCCTGAAAAGGAGGGGTGTTAATATGGGTCAAGATTAAGGACACTAGAATACGAGGGAGCTCAGCTTTTCCTTTAGGAAGTGAAAGGGGTAAACTTTTCAGCTCTTTTTGGGACTTCTACTTTGAAGTACCTGTTTACCATTTGGACATTTAATTCCTTAGGAAAAAGAAACCAACCATCATGTAGCTTTTTTGCTTCCCTCTGCAAGGCCATCCCAGAAGCATATGCTTCAATACACCCATGGCTTCCACACAAACAATCAGGCCCATCCAAAGACACAACAAGGTGGCCAAGTTCTGCAGCACAGAAGGAGCTTCCATGGATCAATTCATGCTGATGGATGATGCCACCGCCAATTCCTACAATGAGAGAGAAAATTATTGAGGTAGCTCTTCACCTGAAACAGAAAAATATAATATGGCAATGCCTCATCTGTTTAGCATTGCTTTGCAATGTGAGGTTCTATAAAATGCCCATTTTTCTAGATAGTTGAAGCTTACTAAATTACTAAGTACCAAAGCTTTGTATGAAGAATTTTGGATGGAAATCTGTTTAGCAGCTCCTCTGGTGCCCTGTGTCACATCTGCTTGGCGCACTCTGACATCAGCCACAGCTATGGCAGACAGTTCAGTGTTTCAGACTCACCCTAAGCACACACTGCCCATCCACTCTGCTTTCTGCACAAAGGCTTTTTCCCAAGGCCAGAGGCAATCTTCAACCAAGGAGGGACAGGAGCTAGCAGATTCAAGCGGACAATTCTAGATGGTATTCTGCAGGCTTCTTGGGAGGTTCCAGCAGATTTCAGCCCCCACTGATCGAAGGCAACTTCTATAATGCATCCATTAATGGCTTTCTTCCTGCTCTGCTTCACTCTTCCCACTTGGTCACTCCTGCTTCTCAGGACTGCCTTCAAGATAAAATACCTGTACCTAAATCCTTGTCTCAGGCTCTGTTTTTGAAGAAACGACTGTCTTTTGTTATAATGGAGTTTGGGAGTTATGAAGGATTAAACAGCATTTTTGCCCAGAAGGCTCTGCTTTTTAGAGTTGTTCTGCCATCTGTTACTTCTTGTTGTACCTATTCTTTAGCTTCCAACCTTTTAATTTGCAGCTTACTAACTGCTTTAAGATAGGAAATGGCATCCAAACTTGCTAAAGCTGTATTCAAGACAGACAGGAAGTGCATCAGCTAAAGTGCAGGAGGTTAAAAGTGAAGTAGTGTAATGCAGAATTTAAAAACACACAAGTTTGAAAGTTAGACATGTCTGGGATGAAATGTGGTTCAACCCCTTTCTAGCTGAATCTGTTTCCTCATTTAGGATGTATGGATGTTAATGAAATTTTTTCTAGAGGAGATAATGGCTGAACAAGTCTACTAAGGAGAGTTGTTATGTGCCGTCTAGTTGATTTCAATTCATAGTGACCCTATAGGACAGAACAGAATTGCCCTATAGGGTTTCCTAGGCTGTAATCTTTACAGGAGCAGATCACCAGGTATCTTTTCCCACAGAGCAGCTGGTGGGTTTGACCCGCCAACCTTTTGGTTAGCAGCCGAGCGCTTAACCGTTGTGCCACCAGGGTTCCTTCTGTTTCCTCATTTAAAAATCAAACGGGGGAGGTCAGAGAAAATGGTGGAGTGGGGCATTCCAAAGTCCATCCCGCCACAAAAGCAACAAATAAACTGGCAAAAACTGTCAGAACAAACTTTTTCAGGCCTCTGAAAACTAGCCAAAAGCTTACAACAAGGAAGAACAGCTGAATTTCGATAAGAGAGCTTTGTGGCTCCCGGCTTGGTGGGACAACCACCCACATTCCAGTATAGGTACCAGTACTGGGGAGAAGAATGGGCCTTATTCTCAAAAGAATTGTGGTAGTTTCTTTTGACCTGTCTGGTGGCTCCCTGGAGAACTGGCTCAAAGGGCTTACTTTTATCTCACCTAACTCAGTGCTGAGGAGAGTAACTTGGGTCACAGGGACACAAACATACTTGTATGTCCACTGTAGCACTATTTACGATAGCTAAAAGGTGGAAACAATCCAAATATCTATGAACAGTTAAACAGATATTATGCAGCCATAAAGAAAAAAGTTTTGATACATGCTATGACATGGATGAACCCTGACACTGGCCTTACTAGACAAAGACTTTAAATCAAGTATTTTAAATATATTAAAAGAGCCAAAGGAAACCAAAGAACTAAGGACTAAAGGAAAAAACTAAAGACCAAAAGGGCTAGAGGAAACTATGAGAACAATGATGAGATGAGAACCATGTCTCTATTTGACACTCAAATCGAGAATATCAATAAAGAGTTAGAAATAATAAAAAGGAACCAAAGAGAAATTTGGGGGTTGAAACTTAAAATAACTAAAATGCAAGTTATTGTACTTTTTCACTAGAGGGGCTCAACAGCAGATATAAGCAGGCAGAAAAAATCAGCAAACTTCAAGATAGGTCAAATTGAGATTATCCAGTCTGAGGAACAGAAAGAATAAAAAAGAAACCTGTGGGCCACCATCAGGTGTACCAGCATTAGTGGTGCTAGGGACTGAGAGGAAGGAGGAATTGGGATTAACTGCTTAATGGATATTGGGTTTCTTTTTGGCTGATGAAAAAATTCTAGAATGGAGGTGATGGCTGAATGACACTGTGAAGATATGAAAAACCACTGAATTATACGTACATTTTTAAAAGATTAAAATAGTGAATTTTATGTTATGTGAATTTTATTTCAATAAAAATGTGAATTTTATTTAAATAAAAAAACAAATGATAAAACCTACTTCACAAGTGGTTAACAGATAGTACCTATTATTATTACAGTGAACACTGATTTTCCTTAGATATCAAGAAGTATTATAATCCCTAGCAGACAGATGAGGAAACTAAGGATGAGAGGTTAAGTACTATTCCCAAAGTCATGGAGCTAGCTAAGTGCCAGAGCTGGGATTCATACTCAAGTTCAACTTTCTTCAAAGTCTGGACTCCTAACCACTATGTACATTTTCCTCAAAAAGATGGATAAACTTTAGTATTTTTTCAGCAAGAAATTATAAGGCACAATAGGAAGGACCAACTTAACCCAAATGTACCTTTCTAGCTCCTGGAGCAACCTCCTCTTTTTACTCCTCTTACCTGTGCCTGTGATAAGTGTCACAAAGTTTTCCAGTCCCTTTCCTTGGCCAAATTTCCTTTCTGCCAGGGCAGCACAGTTGCCATCATTGTCTACCCATACAGGGAGATGCAAAGTGTCAGACAAGGGGGTCCTGAGATCCACAGAGTTCCATTCTTGGATAAGTTTTGTTGAATGTAGCACAATTCCTTCCCGAGGATTTACACGGCCACCCGTGGAAATACCTAAGCTCCACCACAAACCCAAGGAAAATAATTCTGATTAGTAACTGTAGGAGAGAGTGCTAACTTTCTTGGCTCAGAACACAAATCAATTCACTCAAAATCTCCTAAGGCAAACGCCACCCAAGAACTGCAAGGAAATACAAGGCAGTTCTGACGGAAGGCTGCAGTTCCCTACAGATTTATACCACCAATGCTTTCCCCATAATGCTTGTTGGTGTTCCCGGCAGTCCCCATGCTGGGTCTCATAGACAGGACCTGGAGCCATCTACACACGGGGCCAACACTGACTTGATGTTCAGTCTTGCATCAGAACTTAGTAAACTTTGTACATAAAAATGAACATTGCCTGGATATGTAATTCACAATCTCACCTACTCCCAAAATCCTGCAGTTCAGTTTTACAGCTTCTGCTGCAGCTTCCACACACATCTGCAGGATTAAATCAATCCTTTCTTCATAGGTTTTAGGGTTGAACTGAGTGTACTTCTTAACTACTTCACCCTACAAGAGGAAAAGCAACGAAGTCTGTCTCACTGGTCTTAGCTAAGGAGAACACCATAAATCTTTTGACCTTTTTCATGGTAAGTCAGACATTGCTGTAGATTGAGATGACTGCACAGGAGAGAGCTAGTGTCTGGCTTGCGCTGGTTCCAGAATAAGCTCAAGTCATTTCCTGGGAAGCCATCTTGGCATATGGTTGTTGAAGCAATGAAAATTCCACAGTCAACCAGATGAGTCCCTGTCTTAAGCTAATCTAAATCTCGTTCGTTCAAAGGTCATATTTTACTTCTTCATTTCAAGTTGACAAATTTTTCTTGCTTAAATACCTAGGTAAATAAATAGATACACTAAGTGGATGATTTCTAGTCGGCTCTAATAACTGAAGCCAGTAATGCTACGTATATCCTATTTACTCAGGTTTTTCCATGCTGACAGGCACAAATACCACACTGTTTAAATTACTGTGCTTTGTGATATGTTTTAGTATTAGACAGGGATACCCATTATCCATTGCCATTGAGTAGATTCCGACTCATAGCCACCCCATGTGTTACACAGTAGAAATACTCCATATGGTTTCTTGGCTGTAATCTTTACAAAAGGAGATTGCCAAGCCTTTCTTCAGTAGTGCCATTCGGTGGGTTCGAACCACTGACTTTTAGGTTAGTAGTCAAGCATAAACTGTTTGTACCACCCAGGGACCTTATGAGACAGGGATGGTCCCTCCTAATTACTCCTGTTTTTTAAAAAAAGTTGTTTTCTTTACTCTTCTCACTTGTGTATTATTTTAAAGAAATTTCAAAATAATGTTGTTAAAATTTTTTAAATCTTATTGATTTAGGATTATTTTATTAATTAAAAAAATTCCATCGAAATGTTTACTAGAATTATATTAAATTTATGAATTTGGAAAGTGCTGACATTTTAAAAATAGGACTCTCATCTAGGACTTTTTTTAAAAAAAAATTTTTAATTGTACGTTAGATGAAGGTTTACAGAACAAACTAGCTTCTCATTAAACAGTTAGTACATATATTGTTTTATGACATTGGTTAACAACCCCATGTCAGTACTTTCCCTTCTCGACCTTGGGTTCCCTATTACCAACTTTCCTGTCCCCTCCTGCCTTCTAGTCCTTGCCCCTGGACTGGTGTGCCCCTTTAGTCTCATTTTGTCCTATAGGTCTGTCTAATCTTTGGCTGAAAGGTGAACCTCTGGAGTGACTTCATTACTGAGCTAAAAGGGTGTCCGGGGGCCATACTCTCAGAGTTTTTCCAGTCTTTGTCAGGCCAGTAAGTCTAGTCTTTTTCTGAGTTAGAATTTTGTTCTACATTTTTCTCCAGCTCTTTCCGGGACCCCCTATTGTGATCCCTGTCAGAGCAGTCAGTGGAGGTAGCTGGACACCATCTAGTTGTTCTGGACTCAGTCTGGTGGAGACTGTGGTAGTTATGGTCTATTAGTCCTTTGGACTAATCTTTCCCTTGTGTCTTTGTTTTCTTCATTTTCCCTTGCTCCTGAAGGGGTGAGACCAGTGGAGTGTCTTAGATGGCTGCTCACAGGCTTTTAAGACTCCAGACACTACTCACCAAAGAAGAATGTAGAGCATTTTCTTTATAAACTGTTATGCCAATTGAGCTAGATGTTCCCTGAGACCATGGTAGGACATTTTTTTAAGCCTTTATGTTTTACAGTAAAGTTATATAATTTTCTTTATGTAGATCACATGGTTTTCTAGTTTAGATTATTCTTAGGAGTTTCTTTGTTGTTGTTCTGAATGGAATCTCTTCTTCCATTATATTCTCTGGTTATTAATGGTTTCTATATATCAAATATGAGGACTAAAGCTGCCATTAATGAATGTCATTAAAAATAAACCTAAAGGAGTGCTTCTCAACTGCTACTGAGCATCAGAATCACCTGGGCAGCTTTTAACAACTATTGATGCCTGGCTCCCACCCCCAGAGATTCAGATTTAATTAGCCTGGGGTGGGATCCAGCTTCTGTATTTCTTTTTAAAGCTTCCAGGTAATATTATTATGCAGTCAGGGTTGACAAACACATACAGAAAAGCTCAAATCTTTACCTATAATTTCATATAAGTAGACAGTTACTGATATTCACATATTAATCATACTATTCATCTATTTTGTTTTATTAGTTCTATAAACTTACTGGAGCCCTGGTGGCTCAGTGGTTAAGAGCTTGGCTGCTAATCAAAAGGCTGGCAGTTCAAATTCACCAGCTGCTTTTTGGAAACCCTATGGGGCAGTTCTACTCCATCCTATAGGGTCGCTATGAGTCAGTATTGACTCGATGGCAACGGGTTTGGTTTTTTGGGTTATAAGCTTGTTGGTTTCTTCATATTGTCTATAAATATTTTTTTTCTTTTATCCTTTCCATTTAATATTCCTTTTTGCTGTTCCTTGCTTTATTTATTCCCTTCATAACTTCCAGAATTATGTTAACTAATGTTGCAGACAATGCCCTTCTTTCCTTCTTGATTTTAATAAGAATGCCTCTAGAATTTCACCATTACAAAGGATGTTGGCTGTTGATATGGAATAGATGATCTTTATGTTAAGAAAATATTCCTCTATTAATACTTTTTCAAGAGTATTTATAAGGGAGACCTTTTAGCTTCTCTTGAGAATGTCATTTTTTTTTCTTATTTGACCTAATGATATTATATTAACAGATTTGTTTTAACTTTATGTTTAAAATACTCATTATTTCTCACGAGTTCCTGAAACTTTATACATTGACAACATTTTAAACAAAGACTTTTCTGTTAGGCTTATTCTCCCTCATTAAGTCATCAGAGCATTTTAACGTGGACAATTTGGTACTTTTATGAAGGCTCTCTCAACCTCTGTAAACACTGTGGTTTATGGTTTGGTTAACAGATTGAAGGTATATTGTACTCAGTAAAGAGCAGTTGCAAAAGGGCAAAATGGAAAACCGACACAAGTGATCATGTTCTAGAGGAGATATAATTCCCTTCACCATATGCAGATGTTCTCACCTGGGCAGTTACAGTAACCAGCATACTCCATGCTCCAGCTATTACCAAGTACAGAATTTTAGGCCTCTTGGGTGGCAAAAGCCTTCTCTGGTGCCTAAGGGGTCTCCCCATTGTCAACTCAGGTCAACTACCTTGGACTCCCTAAGAATCTACTTCTTGGAAATTTTAATGATTAGTAAAATGGTGAGACAAACACAGTGGATCCAAAAGTCAATGCTGTGGGCAGATGACCACAAGCATTTGTATGTGTTTCCAGTTCTACTTTCCAACTATACTTTTAAGATCAATTACTCAGAAGGGATATAAAATTAAGAGTTTAGGAGTTATTTTACCTTCATGCTGACTATTGCAACTCGGAGGTTTGTCCCACCCAAATCAACAGCCAAGGCACTTAGAGTTTCAAGAATATGGTCAATATCTTGAGAGATATTCTCCTTCACCGGAGGAAAGCAGAATTTCTTTTGTAGTGGTTCTTGAAGATCAATAGATTTGAGAAATTTTAAAATCCTGGGAACAGCATTCCCATCTCCATATATCTTTGAACTGCAATATGTAAACGGTCAATTAAATTAAATGCTTCTACCATACATGTCAAATATTATTGAAAACATGGTATTAATGGAATCTGAGACTTCAGATAAAGAATGGGCCATGCTTCTTCATTTTAAAATAACAACATTTGGATCTCTTCAGCAACACAGTAACTAAGTACCCACATATTACCAACAGAAAGTCTAATTTCATTGTTGATTGAAATACAACTATTTCCAACATGAGATACCATTAACAAAATGCCTATATCATCAAAGAAACATTATCTTTGTTAAGCCAATTTAAGAATATAACAGTTCTGAACAGTGATTTTCTTTTCTTTTCTTTTTCTTTGCTTTTTCAGTTTTTATCTTTACGTCCCTGGGAAAACAAAATGGCATTCAGAAATGACATTCAAATATAGGAAAAATTTCATTAATCTGAAATAGAAAGCAGAGCAGTCTGAATTAATTAAAATACTGAACTAGACTATTTTTAAAGAGTATCAATGACGTTACTAATACAGAAATTCAAATTAGGCTAGCGAAGTATTTCCTAGAAAAAGTGCTACATTAATTAGCTGAGAAAAGTAAAAAATTATTCCATATTGGAACCCTTAGTAGAGTAACAGGGGATATATTAGCAACTTCTGTCTAACCAGCAGCTAGGGGCCCCCAGGCATGCAGAATGAGAACTGTGTTAGGATGATTAAACAGTGATCACAGCTTTAAAATGGTGCCTGAGGCAGCTGCGCTTTTAAATCACCCCCAAAAAATGGTTCTATACTCACCAAGGGTACTGTTTACCAAACTGAAGGTGCAGTGCTTGCAATATTTTGTCTTGGGTGTCGGCATCCCGGACATGAAGAACATTCTCCCCTAGGTAAATCCAGTGACACGTTACAAGGATTTGGAAGTGGGAATAACCAAAGAATGAAGAAATTAGGAGTGTGTTGTGCTCATAATTATCCCTGAAACTAGAAGCCTTCAAATGTAAGTCTTCTATTAGTAAGACATCACCTTTTCACTTTATACCTTTTAAAGCACTCTCGGCAAGATTTCCAAATATAAAACACTTAAGGGCACTAGGATGCTTTATTCCCAGAGAGAATAAATCAAGTTTTTGTCCCAAAGAGAAGAAAGTTTTTGTTGCTTATTGAAATAAGTAGATTAATCTAGTATCCACTTACTACTCTTCTAGTCACCAGGATTTCTGGGTTCATGGAATTGGGGTGACCCACTCAGGCGATCTGCCCTTATGCTTCCTTTCGAACCTTGAAGGAACTGGTTCCCTGTAATCACCTTCAGGTCAAACAATAGCTTAGTAAACAACTTAACGGAGAATGTTTTGCCTTAGGCATTGGGTTCTTTTGGAAAATTATCTATGTGCAGCCAAATTCTAGAAGCAGAAACTCTAGGGTCTAACTAGAGGTTGTGTTTTAGGATGTACAGTATGTCCTTGGTGATTCTGTTTCTGTAACTGATGGATCCTGAAACCCTGCTGGTGCTTTGATGTTATCGTCTAAGAAATTAACATAACAATGACCTATATAACCCGCTTTCACTGTTCCCTCTTCAGAGTGCCTTCCTGATATGGTACGTTCAGGTGACTGCCTGATTCTAATAGTATTTACTCACAATAGATATATTCTGTTACACTAATTTTTGGTGTTTCTCTATGCAATTTAGGTTTTTGACACCTGCCTTCCATCTACTTGGCCAGCCATTCAATCAGCTGGTCAGCCAAGGTGGGTCAGTTCGTCAGCCAGTCAGCTGTTCAGGCAGTCACTTTTTCTCTATCATATCAAGCTATACATTTTCTAAACAATGTGAGGAAGTAAATACAGGCATACTTCAGAGATCTACGGGTTCAGTTCCAGGCCACTGCAATAAAGTGAATATTGCAATAAAGCAAGTCACACTAATTTTTTGGTTTCCCACTGCAAAGTATGTTTATACAATACTATATAGTCTATTAAGTGTGCAATAGCATATGTCTAAAAAAACAATGTACACACCTTAATTAAAAAATATTTTATTGCTAAAAAATGCTAACCATCATCTGAGCCTTCAGTGAGTTGTAATCTTTTTGCTGGCGGAGGGTCTTGCTTCGATGTTGATGGCTGCTGACTTCCCAGCGTGCTGGTTGCTGAAGGTTGGGGTGGCTGTGGCAATTTCTTAAAATAAGACAACAATGAAGTCTGCTGCATCAATTGACATCGTTTCACAAAAGATTTCTCTGTAGCATGCGATGCTGTTTGATAGCATTTTACCCACAACAGAACTTTCAAAATTGGGGTCAATCTTCTCAAACCCTGCCACTGCTTTATCAAATAGGTTTATGTAATATTCTAAATGCGTTGTTGTCATCTCAACAATGTTCACAGCATCTTCACCAGGAGTATATTCCATCTCAAGAAACCACTTTCTTTGCTCATCCATAAGAAGCAGCTCCTCATCCAGTTTTATGATGAGATTGCAGCAATTCAGTCACATCTTCAGGCTCCACTTCTAATTCTAGTTCTCTTGCTATTTCCACCACATGTGCAGTTACTTCCTCCACTAATGTCTTGAACCCCTCAAAGTCATCCATAAGGGTTAGAATCAACTTCTTCCAAAGTCTTGCTAATGTTGATATTTTGACCTCCTCCCATAAATCACGAATGTTCTTAATGGTATCTAGAATGGTGACTCCTTTCCAGAAGGTTTTCAATTTACTTTGCCCAGATCCATCTACGGAATCACTATCTATGGCAGCGATAGCCTTACCAAATGTATTTCTTAAATAATAAAACTTGAAAGTCAAAATTAATCCTTGATCCATGGGCTGCAGAATGGATGCTGTGTTAGCAGTCCTGAAAGCAACATTAATCTTCTTGCACATCTCCATCACAGCTCTAGGGTGACCAGGTGTATTGTCAACGAGCAGTAATGTTTTGAAAGGAATCTCTTTTTCTGAGCAGTAGGTCTCAACTGTGGGCTTAAAATATTTAGTAAACCATGTTGTAAACAGATAACGCTGTCATCCTGGTTTTGTTGTTCCATTTATAGAGCACAGGCAGAGCAGATTTAGCATAATTCTTAAAGGCCTTAGAATTTTCAGAATGGTAAACGAGCAGTGGCTTCAACTTAAAGTCACCAGCTGCACTAGCCCCTAACAAGAGAGTCAGCCTGTCCTTTGAAGCTTCGAAGCCAGGCATTGACTACTCCTCTCTAGCTATGAAAGCCCTAAACGGCATCTTCTGCCAATACAAGGTTGTTTCGTCTACACTGAAAAGCTGTTGTTTAGTGCAGCCACCTTGATCAATTAGCTAGATCTTCTGGACAACTTGCTGCAGCTTCTACATCAGCACTTGCTGCTTCGCATTGCACTTTTATGTTATGGAGATGGCTTCTTTCCTTAAACCACATGAACCAATCTCTGCTAGCTTCAAACTTTTCTTCTGCAGCTTCCTCACCTCTCTCAGCCTTCACAGAATTGAAGAGAGTTAGGGCCTTGCCCTGGATTAGACTTTGGCTTAAGGGACTGTTGTGGCTGGTTTGATCTTCTACCCAGACCACTAAAACTTTCTCCACTATCAGCAATACAGCTGTTTTTCTTTCTTATCATTCATGTGTTCAGTGGAGTAGCACTTTTAATTTCCTTCAAGAACTTTTCCTTTGCATTCATTATCTGGCATAAGAGGGCTACCTTTCAGCCTATCTTGGCTTTCAACATGCCTTCCTCACTAAGCTTAGTCATTTCCAGCTTTTGATTTAAAGTGAGAGATATACAACTTTTCTTTTCACTTCAATACTAAGAGGCCACTGTAGGGTTATTAGTTGGCCTAATTTCAATATTGTCATGTCTCAGGGAATAGAGAGGACCGAGAGGGAGAGAGATGGGGAAAAGCCACGCGGTGAAGCAGTCAGAACACACACGACATTTATTAAGTTCGCCATCTTACATGGGTGTGGTTTGGTGCCCCATAACAATTACAATAGGAATGTCAAAGATCACTGACCACAGAGCACCATAACAGATACAATAATAATAAAAAAGTTTGAAATATTGAGAGAATTACCAAAATGTGACACAGAGACATGAAGTGAGCACATGCTGTTGGAAAAATGGCGTCGACAGACTTACTGGACGCAGGGTTGCCACAAACCTTCAATTTGTAAAAAACACAGTATCTGTAAAGCACAATAAAGTGAAGCACAATAAAATGAGGTATGCCTGTACATGAAAATGGCTGTTTTTCAACAGGCTAGCCTAAGAAGAGGAGAGCAGAAGGGTGGTAGCTGGGAAGAGGTGGGGTCAAGGAAGGGACTGTTTTAAGATGTGAGAGGCCTAGACATGTTTAAATGATAAGGAAGTTAAAGATACATGGAAGAGAAAGGATGACTGATGGAGTGAGGTTCCTGCGAAGGCTAGAGGGGTGGGGATTAGAATACAGGTAGAAGGATGAGCAGTGGACAGGTAGGACAGACCCTCCTCCACTGTAAAGAAGGGAAGAAGGAAAGAATGGCTGGGCATGTAAGTTTATGATGGTGTGGTGGCAGAAAACAGAGACTGCTTTTGACAAAAGATCATGTTGCCAAATTCAGCATTCAATTCTGTGTTCACATCTGACTTGAACTCTAAGCAGCATTCAACACTGCCTCCTTGAAACATGTTCTTTTCTTGGCTTTAACAATACCACATTCTCATGGTTTTCCTCTGACCTCATTAGCAGTTCCTTTCAGTCTTCCTTCCTGGCTCTTCCCTCTTCACCAAAACTCTAAATGTTGAAGAGCTCCAGAGGCTGGTCCTGAGCTCCATTCTCTTCCCTATTTACAGGTTCTCCCTGGTAATCTCATTTAGTCCCTTGGTTTTAAATGCCATCTATGGCAAAGTACCAAACCAAAAAACCAAACCCATTGCTATTAAGTTGATTCTGACTCATGGTGACCCTATAGGGCAGAGTAGAACTGCTCCACAGGGTTTCCAAGGAGCAGTTGGTGGATTCGAACTGCTGACCTTTTGGTTAGCAGCCGAATGATTAACCACTGCACCACCAGGGCTCCAAGTTGTCCTCAACATCATTTTTCTATACTAGTAGCAGAATTTTTACATGGGTACCTGATCACTAAAGACTGTAGTCTTCAGCTTCCCTTGCAGCTAGATAGGGAAGGGCCTTACAGGGAAGGGCCTCTTCCCCTTTCCTGCTTCCCACTGGCTAGGAGCTGGAGCAGCCATCAACTAGGTGGCTAAGCCTCTGATTGTGGAGCTGCTATATCAGCTCCTGAAAGCTAACCACTGAGAAAGAGAGAAAATCTAACTTATTTAAGCCACTATTATTTTGGTTCTCTCTGTTACAGTACCTGAACTAATATCCAAACTATACACCATCTATATGCCAATGACTCTCAAATTTGTATCTCCAACTCTAACTCTCCCTGAAACTGTCTAGCTCCTTACTTGCCACCTCCCCTTTGATAACTAACAGGTAACTCAAACTTAACATGGCCGTAAGAGGACTCTTAATTCCACCTCCTCCCAAAACCTGCTCCCCCTCAGTGTCTTCCATAGGAAGAAAGAGCACCCCCACTGTTAAATCCAAAAACCTAGGAGTTATTATGGACTCCCTTCTTCCTTTTACCTCCCACATTTAAGCATCAGCAAGCCCTATAATATAGCCCAAATCTATCTAACTTTTCTCCATCTCTAATACTACCGCTTAGTCTAAACTATTACCATGTTTTATCTGAAAAGCTGAAATTGCCCTTTAATTAACTGGTCTCTCGGCTTCCACTCTTGCCCCATCACATTCCATTCTCCAAACAGCACACAGATTGTTTCAGAACACAAGTCAAATCATGTCTTTTCCTCCCTCATACTTGGAAAAAAATTCCAAATTGTTTACCCTGGCTGATAAAGGCCTGCCTCCTTCTCTAACATCTCTTGTATCACTCTTCCTCTTGCCCACTAGTCCACAGCTATACTGCCCCTTCTATTTCTTAAATATATCAAGCTTGTTCTCATCTGAGGGCCTTCACACTGGCTGTCCCCTGTTTCTCCCTGATGCTGATACAGCTGATTCTTTGTCATTCAGATCTCAGCTTAAATGTCACCTCCTCAAAGAGACCTTCCTTTATCCAGTCTACTATAGCTATCCAGTCACCTGTCCATCACGTTAACCTGTGTTACAATCGGCACAGCACACAAAAATCCTGATATTTTTCTTAGTTTTTATTTGTATTTCATCTATCTCCTCTCCCACTAGAACATGTTACATGAATACTCAGCCCTTGTTAGTCTAGTTTACTGCCAAATCCCAGTGCCTAGCACAGAGTAGGTGCTTATTAAATATTTTCTTAACGAATAATTAATTAAGTTGAAAGAATTTCCATCTGATGGCTTTTATTTTCTCTATGAAGTGGGGAACAAAATAATATGCTGAGAATGAGGGGGAAGAAAGTCTAAAGATAATGGAAAAAGCCAGCGTGGCAATCAGGAAGAAGGGGACGAAGAGCAAAGCTGGGAGTAATCTCCTTGGTTCTGGTCTAGTTCTCTTCCATGAACTCCATTCTTTTTTCTATTAGCTACACACATATATTTGCATGTAGATAATATCAGAACTCAGACTAATGTTAACAACAGGATCTAACTGAATAATAATAATCCAACATATAATTTAGATATTAAGGGGGCACCTTACTTAGATATTAAGGCGCACCTTACAATGCCATGCTCTAAAGTACTGACTAGAAGGAGTCTCTCCTAGGCCCAGAAAATGAAAGACTAGCACTCATCTACTACTGACACATTCCACCACATTCTTTCTTAAACACAGCCATCAAAGACCATAATTAAGCTCTTAGCTGTAATAGATATTACAAAGGCAATAAAAATGTAAGTAGAACCCTAAAAGATCTGGTAATCACTGTGTGCTATTTATAGACTATTTATAGATTTTAGGCTACAATTGGTCATTAACCTCATTCGCACATTTGTTCATAAATATATATGCCTGGCACTGATATATGCATACTTTATAATAACTCATATGTATGTATAAAGCCTAGCCAGTTGAAATATAAGCAAAGGTAAATACCTGTTTCTCTTCCAATCTGACGTGTCCCCAGGTTGATCACAGGTGTTCCAAAAGCTCCAACCTCTCGAACCCCACAGCTGCTGTTCCCAATCATACAACCAGCATGGGCAACCAACTGTATAAACTGGTCAAACGGGACGTGTTTAACTGCACGGAAATTGGGATGATGTTCAATGCCCTTCTTCCGCATCACTCGAACCATCTCTTTGCTCCCTGTGAAAATGAAAAGAACCGACTGTTAAATGGTTTATGAGATAAAGAAACAATCATTGGCAAGAAATTATCATTGGCAAGTATAGCCCCACTTAAAGACATCTTCCTATAAAAATTCACACTAGTTACTGGGGAATAGTAATTTTGATTACTAATCTTTTCTTGAATGATGAATACATAAACTGTCTGGCTGGCTCACTGCTTCAACTAGGAACTCAAACAGCAGCAGGTGGAACTTTTCAAATAGAACTTAGCAAAGCAAATACCTTCTTAGTAACATCCCAGTAAGAACCTTTACCTTAAGCAAAGATACAGAAGCTAAAAATAAGCCAACAGTTTATCTCTTAAGCTGAGAGTTCCTACACAGAAAGGTCTCAGGCTCTACATGCCAAGCTGATGAGAGAGCCCTGTCTCAGCTCTCCTCACCTGCACTAGAAATAGCATAACCAGGTAGCACTACCACTTATGTGACTAACCCCCAAGAAAATACAGATAGATTCTGACACTGTGGTTGATAACTTATTTTAAATACAAGACTGAAAAAAAGTAAGATGTATAGGGAGAGGCAATATTTAAACATCTCTCTAATTCACCCTTTCCCTAGCTATCCCGTACCAAGCGAGGAGAAGTTGCTAGTCTGATTAGTTAGCAGGCTTGACAGCAACAGCGTCATATTCACCAGTGCGCAGGAGCCACTGCTTTAACAGGAGCTGCATGTGGTTCTCCATGTCTTGAACTTTCTCTATGAGGCAAAGTAGGTAAGTGGACTCAGAGTTTAACTCTTGGAGCAGCCCTGGCTACTTCTCTCTATATCCAATCTTGCTAGAGCATGCTGGCCATCATCTACAATTATCGTAGTATGTGGCACACCAGAAGGTGCTACTCTTCCAAGATTCAGATTTGGGCTCCTCTTTGGCCCTAAACCTAAACCACATACACACTAATTCAGTTTTTCAAAGAGTCTTGTACTGGGGTCTGGGCACTGAGCCAAATAATGATAAAGCAAGGCTCTGATTCTTATTTCACTATTGTTCCCTGTGTATGTCTCATGGGGAAGTGACATGATTTAGGTATTCCCTGGAATCCTTTAACAATTTTCATAGGGGAAAGATATCTCTAATTCTAAAGTGTATACAATCAGGAAAGTATACTACAAACAGGATATCCCTGACAATGAATATTGACAAGAGAGACATACATAATTACTTTATAAATATTTATATAAAAAATTAAAAGATCAGAAAAGAATAAATGTTAAAGTTTTTGAAATATTAATACATTATCTAAATGAAATCTTGATTATTAGTTACCAGTTGCCGTTGAGTTGGTCCTAACTCGTGGCAACCCCTCGTGTGTCAGAGTAGAACTATGCTTAATAGGGTTTTCAATGGTTGATTTTTTGGAAGCAGATCACCAGGCCTTTCTTCTAAGGTGCCTCTGGGTAGACTTGAACCTCCAACCTTTCAGTTAGCAGCTGAGTACATTAACTGTTTGCATCACCCAGGCAGAAATCTGGGTTAGGGGTTCTTAAATTTTTTTTTCAACTAACACTCTACTTTGCTTCCCTTAACAGAAAAGATTATTCAAGGGGCACTATAAGCAGAATTCTTTCCCAGTAAGATGGTAACATCTTGGCATTGCAGGGAAGGGTCCTGCCTCCTTTACCAAAAAAAAAAAAAGCCTAAGAGCTCAGCAGTGACTAGTCAGTTAACAACCAGTATTTGAAAATTCCTGGGTGTCAGGCCCTGCTCTGGCATTTCTTGTTTATATCTCATATCCCCATTAACTTGCCCAAGGCCTCACTAGCACTAAAACTTACAGTATTCTCCACTAGTGGGTGATCAACCAGGTCAGGTTTGAGGATCCACTAGTTGGAGACCCCAGATCTAAATTATTTAAGCTCAAGATGTCTTTAAGATATCACTAACATAAATAAGCAATAGAACAGGAAATAATATTAATGGTTATTTTAACTGCAGTCAATAGCATCATTACTTTCTTAGAGAAACTCTTTCACTTTAACTGCAAGGTTTATGTCTCTTGGTTAAAGTGAAGGTTGGACAGACTTTTTTTTTTTTTTTTTAGTGTTTATTTGCTTATTTCTTTCCTATTAAGTTTCTATTCGACTTTACAAAAACATCAAAGTCTTCAATCTATAGCATAATTGGTGATTCTTTGAAAACTGAATGCATCTGAGAAGAGTGGCTTTCAGTGATAAGATGAGAAAAACAGGAAGAATCAAAATAAGATGTAATAAAAATAAAATTTGTAAAGGTAGGTGACATAATTTCATTTTCAAGTTCAATTACCTGCATCAATATTTGGAAACAGAACTAGGGTCCGCTTGTTAAATGAGATAAGTGCATCCAATGTTAATTCAAACATTTTTATGGAATGCTTAATGTCAGTGGTCACAGGGTGCTGTAGTGCAACAATGTAATCTTTAGATTTTACATCATCACCTGTTTAAAGAAAATCAAACCACATTGCTTCATTAGTTAAGAGTACTAAAAGAGGAAGAAGCAAATTCTAAAAGCAAGACCCCGAAGTGTGTACTTTAAAAAATTCTAAGGTAAAAGTTTGTCACGTGCCTAGCAGGGTACCCAAATTAGAATCAAATGATAAGAATTTATAGCAACAAGCCCAAGGATACAGCAAATTTCATATTTTACAAAGGTGTTTGCTACCACAAACATAAAATATAACTTCAAATAGCAGGCACCAGAGATTCACTGTTTTAAAATCTGAAGTATTTCAAAGCATTAGAAAATTGTGAATCTTCCCCAAATTCTCCTTATGTTTCTAGTGAATAACCAGCAATATTAATGAATAATAATACATTGCAAATCAGAGCATTTAGAGTTTGAATGAGCATTAAACATATTTCATATAACGCAAAGGAGCTTCCCCATACCATTACCTGCCAGATTCAACAAATGGCAAGTATGTCTAACTCTGTTCAAAGGACTAGAAAGACTTAATGCATCCCCAGGCTGGGATCCTAAGGACAGTTCTTTAGCAAAAACCTAAAGTGTAAAAGATTTGCACGGGCAGTGCTATGCCAAACAACACATTTATCAGCAGGGTCTAAATTATACCATAAAACTGAAAATAAGCTCCATTTGCTTATTTTTAATGAAACGATTATCTTTCCCTGTGACATTAATTTTCACGACCAATTTTATCATTCATTATGTAGTTCATCATTAATTTCTAAATTCAACCAGCAGCAGTCATTTTTTATGATTTAATAGTAACAGAGGATTTTTACTAAGTTAGACTCTTGGTAGTATTTGATTTAAAAGACCATGATGGTTCCAAATTTTTATTTTAAAAAATTATTGGTCCCATATTAGCTTCTAAACTGAGGAGGAAATACAATTATTAAATTTTTGCATAAAGTAGAAAAAAAAACCTAAACAAATCTATCATAAACTTGATAAAACATGAGAGGTTCAAATATTAAAAACAAAACTGCTTGTCTGATTACAGTTAACTGAAGTCTAGAAAGATGAAATCAAGAAAAATTCAGATAGTCTACAAGATATAGATTCGGGCCTTAGGGCCATTAGGAAGAAACTATTTCAAGAAGAATTAAAATCTGGAAGGGAGGAGTGGCAATAAAAAAGTTGTCTTCACTGTAAAGGATATGGAGCTACTATGTATAGGCTGTAATCTGACCACTGGCACAAGTCTGTTCTGCTAGAATGCATGTCTCTGTAATGTGAATTAGCTCATTCCTGACTGGTAAATAGAGGAATGATGTCAACCTTTAACACAATAGTTGAGTTATCCACATATGATTGCCCACAGCTCAAGGCAGGTAACCCTAACGTAAAGGTATGTAACAAGCGATGGAGAAATAAAGTACCCGTCATGGTGCCATTTCACCCACGTTCTTTCTCTTGGTTCAGTATGCCCATGTACTCTGTCTTGAAAGCATTTACAGGGTAAGTCACTCTGATCTTTGTGCGGCTGGGGGTGGGGGCGGGGGGCATCTTCGAGAGTGAGGATGTTACGGTCTCATGCAGAAGATCATTCTACACAAGAGCTGATAAGGGACAAGTGAAAGGTGAAGAGGAAGAAAAATTCCAGCAGTTTACTCAATGAGATGTTTCCACTTCCCATTTATCTTCTACTTTAAGTGTGATAAAGAAATATTTGTAGTGGATAGAAAATAACAATTATAATGCAGATTGCAGTGGGAATGCACTTTGTAACTTAAGGTCCTAGGTGGATACATTTAAGCAGTTTCTTTATGAAAGGATAGCAAAATGACCAAACTTAGATCTGTCTTTCTGAACCAGTGAAAAAGAAAACACAAGACAATGATCCAGAGCCATGCGCTCCTAGCAAGAACACATTTTGTGCAAAGCCTGCACTGCTTCTCGACCTGCAACCTCTAACTTCTATCACTCCGCCCTTGCCTCCCTAACTCAGCAGCCTCAGCCCCTCCATACAATGGTTTCAATCATCGTACTATGATTTTGTTTTGTTTTGTAGGAGTCCTATATTTACTGTGGTATTTCTTTCATTATTAGGAATTTAACATATTCTTTTAACTTTGTTAATATTTCTAATAGGATTGTTACTGATTAATGTTCTGGTTACAAAGTTGCATGTTTTGTGTGGCCTATGCCCTACCTGGTGGCATAGCCCTGGTGGCACAGTAGTTAAGAGCCCAGCTGCTAACAAAAAGGTTGGCAGTTCAAATCCACCAGCCGCTCCTTGGAAACTCTATAGGGGCAGCTTTACTCTGTCCTATAGGGTCACTATGAGTCAGAATTGTCTCGATGGCACCTAACAACACATGCCCTACCCAACCCTAGCTTTCTTATAAGCAGAGTGATAACATCAGAAGTTGCAGGTGGAGAAGGAGGTGCCGGATTTTCACAACATGTACTATGCCAGATGTGAATGGCTCTGGCTCATGAGTTTGTGTTTTCTTTTTCACTAGTATTTAAAAAAAAAAATCAGTTTTTACTGTTCTGTCATCATTCTTTTCATAAGGAAACTGTTTAAACGGTTTCGAATAGGACTTTAAGCCCAAAGTGCAATCTTGCTGCATTCTGCTTTATAACAGTTATTTTCTATTCACTACAAATTTTTCAGAAGTACAAGAATTTTCAGAACATATACAGAGCTAACAGTATAATCAGAACAAAATGTACGAGTGTTTCCTTAAAGAATACAAAAAGGAGAGACTAAAGAGATCCAAGTTTGTTCCACTAGCATTATCTAGATAGGTTCCCTGATAATTACAAATTTGTGCAAGGATAAAAAATACATAGAGTAGATTAATTTATATAGTAAACCCTTAAAACCCATTGCCATTGAGTCGATTCATACTCATAGCAGGAAAGCCCAATTCCTTTCCTGTTCTAATGAGAACTGGATTAAAAATATACACAACCACTTTGATTACATAATCACCAAATCAATTTTCTATGCATTAACTTCATTATTCAATAGATTTGCCTCTTAGAAAAGGGGGTCCTAAACAGATGATTAGTCCTGATTTGACCTCTAAGTAGTATTCTCACTAGAAATCAATCGACATTCTGGTTTGTAAATGTGTTTTCCTTGCTTCTGACTAGCAAAAGGCAATTTCCAGGAAGCTAGATCAGCCAGTTATCGATGATTTTAGACCTTAGGGCTTATTTAGATATAAAGATAATGAACTCTAATGTTTGGTATAACTATGACTTCTGCTTTTTAATAATCATCATCATAATTCCTTACATTAACAAGTACTTCTGGCTTACTAACTGCTTTCACATTCATTATCTCATTGAAGTATTCCAACAACTCCGTGAGATAGTCATTAAAATTAAACATAATAATTTTTTTATTGTAGTAAAAAACAAAATACAGATAAACAAAAATACCCATAATGCCATAAACCAGAAAAAAATATTATAAACGACTTGGTGTATATACCTCTTAAAATTTCCATTATATTATAGTTTTTTTTTAATGATATCCTATTATACATATAATTCTGTAGCTTGCTTTTTTTTTTCTTTTTGATATATCAGGGTCTGTCTTTGTCACTAAATATTCTCACATCATACTTAATGGATTAAACACATTCCACTGTATAAATATAGCAAATATTTAAAAAAATCAATCCATTATACCTATTTTACAGAAAAGGTAATGAGCCACAGAGAGGTCAAGTCATACCAAAGGACAAGAGATATGGACTAAAACTTTACTCTCCTGACTGCTACTGTAATATTCTATCCACAATAGTTTCCAAAATGATTGAAATATACCTAACATTTTCTGACAGAAACAATCATTAGACTAAAGTCTGATACATACCTAACCACATCCGAATGATGCTCATATAGTCCTTGTTCTTGGCTGACAGAAGTTTGTCATAGGAAGGACAGCCTGCCAAAAGGATGCGATCATGGTCCTCACACATGGATATTAGGTGTTGCTCTGCACTTCGGGTGCAGCACACATGATAGTGAGCCAATTTTGTTATGGCATGTCTGATAGAGTCATCAATGGTCCCACTGACTTCCCCACCTTCAATGTGAAGGATTCGGATGTTCATTAAAGCAGCAGATGTAGCCAGAGCCAGGGCATCAAACCTGTCTCCATGAACAATCATGATATCAGGCTTCAGGCGATTAAGGACATCTGGTAGCTTCACCAGGGCCAGGCCTACCGACTCCACCATGGCTGCCTCGTCTTCTCCTCTAACAATTGTGTGTAGCCTGGTGTTAATGTCAAAGTCATCTTGTTCAATCATGCGATATGTATTTCTAAAGCAGGAGAGAAGTAAAGATGTGACAGTATGTTCTTAAATACAGGAAAAGCAATCTAACATCAACCCTGAAGAGAGAAACATTTTTTTATTTACTTGTTAAAATAAATAATTGAAGTACAATACAATAATTACAACAACAAACACACCCTTTACATACAATAACAAACAGTACAGATCATAAGTATACAGTTTAACTTTTCTAAATGAATACACCCGTACTTGCCACCTAGATCAAGATATTGAGCACTTCTAGCACCTTGGAGGACTCCTGGTGGCGCAGTGGTTAAGAGCTATGGTGAGCTACGGCTGCTAACCAAAAGGTCAGCAGTCTGAATCCACCAGTTGCTTCTTGGAAATCCTATGGGGCCATTCTACTCTGTCCAGTGGGGTCACTATGAGTCAGAATCGACTCAATGGCAACGCATTTGGTTTTGTGTTAGGACCTTGGAAGGCTCACTTGTACCCCTTCCCAGTCAGTACCTAGAAGGAGAAACATCTGAGGGAAGTTTTTTTTATTAGGAAGAAACAGACGATACTTCTAACAGTAGTCATGACTTTTTTCTTTCTTTCCTTTTTTTTCTTTTTTGTATTTACCAATTTTTAAAAAATGCTTTTATGATAGAAAAAAATCTCACTTATAAAAACAAAACTAATTTTTTTACACACACATACACAAAGCTGGGAATCAGGGTGCCTAACATGTCACTATACTATTATAAGCATCTGAATGATGAAAATCATCTCCTGAATTCTCTATACATAGTACCATTGTTGTTGTTTTTAGCTGCCATCGAGTCAGTCCCCGACTTGTGGCGATCCTATGTACAATGAGATTGGACCATTGTGATCCATAGGGTTTTCACTGGCTGATTTTTCAGAAGTAGATTACCAGGCCTTTCTCCCTAGTCTGTCTTAGTCTGGAAGCTCTGCCAAAACCTATTCAGCATAGGTGAGGTTTTCTTTGTACTTATCCTTTTTTAGGGTTAACCTTCCTGGATATGTACATTGATGTTTTACCCAATGTGGAAAATTCTGCTCATTATTTCTTCTAAGATTTTTCTGCCCAATTTTTTCCCTTCTCTCCTTCTGAGACTCCAATTAAATGTATATTAGATTGCTTTTGATATTGCCTCAGACGTTTCTGAGGTTCTGTTCTTTTTACTTTTTTTCTTTCTGTGCTTCACCCGGATAATTCCTATTGATCTGTCTTCAAGTTCATTGATCCCTTCTTCTCTTCAGCATCTACATCAAGCAGATTTTTCATTTCCTATATTGTACTTTTCAGTTCTAGACTTTTCATTTGGTTCTTTTTTATAGTTTCTCTGTTGAGATAGCTGCTTTAAAATCCTTCCTGCTCATTCCAGCATCTGAACCAGCTCAGGGTCTGTTTCTACTGACTGCTTTTTCTCTCGATGTTGCGTCAAATCTTCCTGTTTCTTTACATAATTTGTAATTATATACCAAACACGTGGATGACACTATAGAGACTCTGTACTCTATATCTTCCTCTTAAGGTTTTTGTTCAAGCAGGCAGTTAATTTTTGTTCAAGCAGGCAGTTGATTTTTCCTCTTGATTTTTGTTCGAGCAGACAGTTGGTTTTTGCTTTAGGTGGACAGCAAATGAAATTTCTGCTCAGTTTTTTCAGCCTCTAGCTATTGCTTTCTACTGGGTTTCTTGGAGTCCCTCATTCATGTGCAGTTGTCAGCCAAAAATTTGAGAACAGTTAATATACATAATTTTGGGCTTCCCCTCTGTGGCTCCCTCATTTCCAGAATCCAACCCTCCCGCTCCAATTTCCAAATGGTGTGACAGCCTAAATTCCATTTTCTGGCACCTCAACCTAAAAGACTGTGGCCTTCTGCTTGAGTTCTAGCCAACCTATATTGTGTGAACTGGGAGGTATTCTCAGGGGAAAAGTTATATAAACACAGATCTCACCTAGTACAGTTCCGTTCTCTTGAAGATCAAATCCCCTCCAGTTTCTGCCTGCTGTTGGTCACTCTCTAGTGTCTTTCAATAATTTTTAAAATATTTTGTCCAGAGTTCAAAAAGGTTAGCTATGGGAGAATTAGTCAGATACAAGCTAAACTCCTTTTTCTTAAGTAACTGTTTTATAATTTCTTCAGCTGAATACTTAGTTTATTTTCCCTCTAATAGTGAAAGCCATTAAGACCATGAATTTACTTCTAATTATAGGTTCCCCTTTATCATTTTATTATCTCTTATTTTATTATTTATCTGTATATCATCTGTCTCCCCTACCAGAATATAAGTTCTATGAGAGTAGAGATTATGTTTCTGTCTTATTTGCCACCTAGCACATTCTAGATGCTTAATAAACATTTATTGAATGAATGAATGAACAAATGAATTTCTACTAGTCTGTTGTTATCTATTTAATTTCCCCTTAAGTAATTTTATAAATATAAAAATGCTGTCTCATTTATTAAATTTCTAAAGTAGCGAAGTTCTTTGTTTTAATATCTTAATATAGGAAATCCATTCACATGGTTTAAAATCCAAAAGGTACAAAAGGTTATACAGTGAAAGTCGGTAACTTTTGTCTCCCAGTCTTCCAATTCCCCTCCCAAGAGGCAACCAATTTCTTATTTTAGAATGCACTTTAAACATACATTCCCATTAAGTACTAGTCAAGTTTCCTAATTATACTACCTTTCTACCCTTAATTTTTGTAGTAGCTGATAAGAAACCTACTATAATTCCGAGAGCCTCTCTCCCCCAGTCTTCCTATCAAAACTTTCTCGTTCAAGCAAAAGAATCCACTGAGACTTTCATCTCAAGCAACAGCTAAAATTTCTCTTCTACCTTGTCTTATTACCCAACATTGATTTTCTTAGTCAGAATTCAGTTCACATTAAAAATAACCTATGGATTCTTGAGCTGTCCTTAAGTTTCTTCTCTAGTCTTTATGTATTTTCTTAGAGAAAATTTCCAGATTTCTGGAGGCAGGTTTTTGTTTTTGCTGGTGTTGTTGTCTTTTTTTTTTAAAGAATAGTCTGAAAAAGACAATTTCAATTTAACACATGCTTCCTTTATATATAAAAACCTGTTGCCGTCGAGTTGATTCCAACTCATAGTGACCCTACAGGACAGAACAGAACTGCCCCATAGGGTTTCCAAGGCACAGCTGGTGGATTCAAACTGCCAACCTTTCAGTTAGCAGCTGAACGCTTAGCCACTGTGCCACCAGGGCTCCTTATACATAATAGTTGTTTTTTTTTTAACCATCTTTGGAAACTGCATTAACATTCTCACGCCACAAGGGTGCACTAAATGCCACTTTATTAACTTTCTTAGTTCAAGTAGATAGAGCTAAAATGAACATTTCTAGTTTACACATTCTGCTCCCTCAAAGATTTCCCAACCTTCATTTTTAGAATTTAAATTGTGATCAATAACAAACCTAATGACATCATAATAAACATCAGTGATAAATGGTAATTAGCATTCTACTTTACCTTGTAGATCAATTGTTGTTCTGTACCCTCGAGTCAATTCTGACTCATAGAGACCCTACAGGACAGAGTACAACTGCCCCACAGGGCTTCATAGACTGCAGTCTTTATGGGAGCAGATTGCTAGGTCTCTTCTCCCACAGAGGCACTGGTGGGTTCAAATCACCGACCTTTCAGTTAGCAGCTGAGCACTTAACCACTGCACCAGCATTAAAGTATAATCTTCATTAGAACTCACAAAACAGATCATGAGGAATTAGTCACGTTATTATAGCCACGCAATACGTATTTACAAGTGGCATTTCTCCTGAATGTAATAACAAACAATAGTAATATTTACAGCTATCATTTATCAAGCATCTAATAAGCACCATCACTGTGATGGGTATTTATATCACTCTCCACTCCCTGTGATAACCTACAATACACGTTTTCACCTCATTTTATAACTGAGGAAACTGAGGCTCCGAGATGCTAAGTGAGTTCTCCAAGGCCACATAAAAACTAAGTGGTAGAACTGGGATTTGAAGCTAGGTCCATATGGCTTCAAAATCCAAGCTTTCTCCAGTACACCATGTTACAATCAAGAATATCATAAAAAAACGCTTTTATCTTACCCGTAGTCATCTATCAGGTGAGAGCCAAGTACCACCACATCAAGTTCAAAGAACTCAGGTTCTGTTTTAATGCCGAACATGATTGGGGCAAGTTTGGAATAATCAGCACGGTTGCAAGTAGCAACGCAAACCCGAAGCTTTCGGTTATTCCCATTCTTCTCCATGACTTGTTTCTTTCGTTTTGAAAGGGTCTTAAAATAGAGTTCCTGAAGTTGCAAAAATAAAAATGATTGTTTATAATCAGAATGATACACCCTAGATATAAGCACAGAATTTTGCAGTTTTAAGTCCTTAACCACCATTCAGTACAGTTATTCTTAACCTTTTTTTTTCCCACCCCACCTAATGAAGGATGACACTCCTGTGTGCCACTCCCACTGGCGTAGCCAGAGCTATGAAATCCCAGCAGACTAACTATAACTCCACCTCTTTCTCCCACACTCAAGAAAGCACACTGGAATGCAACTGAGAAAGACTGACATAATCAACTCTAATTTATAAATGCAAGCAAACATCAGCTGTTTCATATTAGTTAAAAATTTACTTGCCACACTTCACAATTGATCCCAACGTATCAGAATGCTGCAAAACTCTGGCTGACAACCACTGATCTAGTTCAACTCCCTCACTTACAGAAAGGGAAACACAGGTCTTGAGAGGCGAAATAACTTCCTCAAGATTCAGTATCACATCTTGTAAGGAACAAGATCTATTCACTCTCATGTTATATACTCCCTACGTACAGATGATCAGTGCTGGGGAAGAGAAAGATGAATAAAATAAAAGCCCTACCTTCAAGGCTTCATTAACATCTATCCACCAGTGCCTACCGAACTGACAACTCTAAATGCCTACCAGATATCTTCTATTGTGTGTCCCACAGGCACCTTAAAGTCAGTGCCCAAAACTGAGCTCACTTTCTTTCCCAAACCTATTCCTCTTTCCTTATTCTCTAACTCAGTTATGCACTTCCATTTACCCAAATGCTTTGGTATCTTTGTCTCCTCTGTTCCTTACCCTATTTCTTGGAAGCCCTGGCAATTCCATCTCTAGAATATCTTTCAAATATATTCCCTCTTCTTCATCCCACCAGGACTTTGTCTAGTCCATGGCTTCATCTCAGGTCTAAACTACTTAATGGGAGTGGTTTGCTTGTCTCTAGTCTTGCCTTACCCGGCCCAAACTTTCAGAGTGATCTTTCCAAAGTTCATAAATCTGATTATATCACACTAACCAGGATACACCACCTATGGGATAAAGCCCAAATTGCTTATCTGGACCTAGCCCATCTTTCCAACCTCTTCTCTCGTATCTACAATTACCCTTACTCTGTGCCACAGCACCAGCCATACCATTACCTGCAGTTCAATGAGTCATCTCCATACCTCTGTGCCTTTACAGATGCAAGTATCTCTCCCTAAAACTTCCTTTCTCTCTTGCCTGGACTCCTCCTCATCCTTCAAAACTCAGTTGAAGTGTCACACTCTTTTGGAAAGGCTTCATGTAAACCTGTTCCTCTTCACCCCACCCCACTTAGTTGCTTCCTCCCTCTTAACACTATGCCCTACCACCCACTTATATACTATTGCTTCACTCATCTGCCCTGGCCCCCATACTATACCCTTCATTCGAAAAGTAAAAATCAGAGCTAAGGGATAAAAGATATACTTTATGGAGCATTTTAAATGTCTCTACTTCAGTGTAAAACTTTTCTTCATAGACTCTGATTCCAATGCTTATGTTTCAGGAAGTATACCAATATTTAGAATTTGTAATCAGGAATCCAGAGAAGCTTGACTAAGGATGCCAATAAAAGAGGAGCTATCCTTCAGATCAGGGTAAACTCTTGATGCACAATGTAAGTCCCATCAGTAGCCCTCTGCTCTTGATACTCATCTGCCCCATCATTAGGCCTACTCTGAACTTTCAACTTCAAATAAAAGCTAATTCCACCCAATGGAAAGCACTTTTAAGATACGGAAATGAGCACTCTGCCTAGAGAGTTGTATTCCTAAGGCCTAAGCACTATCTAATCATTAAAGAGACAAAAACATTCTTCCAAAAATGGCTGTCTTAAGTATTCTTGTACATTATCCTTCTTCTACTGATAATTAAATTTGAGCTGAATCAATTGTTGGTGATATTTAACTTACCGGGTAAGACAAGGCAAATTTTTCACGGTTGGTCAATTTGTATTTATTTTACAAAGAGCAGTAAACTTTCTATCTGGCAGTACTAAAGTGTTCTCAGTATTTGCCAAAACTCAAAGGTTATTCTACCAAAACTAAGAGTAAGTGAGCCATATAAATAACTATGAAAAATAACAACATTACTTAAGGCCAAAACTTTTTTTTTCCCATACAAAAATTTATACATACATTGTTATGTGACTCTAACTGCTCTCCCCATACTCTGACAGTACATTCCTCCTTTCCACCCGATTCCTCATGTCCATTCAACCAGCTCCTAACCCTCTCTGCCTTCTCATCTCACCTCCACAAAGAAGTTGCCCATTTAGTCTCTTGTATCTACTTGAGCTGAGAGGTACTCTCCTCACTTTACATCCCACAGTCCAGTCTAATCCCTGTCTGAAGAGTTGGCCTTGGAAATTGTTTTATTTCTGGGCTGATAGAGAATCCAGAGGCCATGCTTTCCAGGGTACCTCCAGTGTCAGCCAGACCATTAAGTCTGGTCTTCTTACTAGAATTTGAGTTCTGCACCCTACCTTTCTCCTGCTCCATCCGGGACTCTCTGCTGTGTTCCCTGTCAGGGTCATCATTGGTGGTAGCCAGGCACCATCTAGCTCTTCTGGTCTCAGGCTGATGAGGTCTCTGGTTTATGTGGCCCTTTCTTTCTCTTGGGCTAATACTTTCCTTGGGTCTTTGGTGTTCTTCATTCTCCTTTACTCCAGGTGGTCGAGACCAATTGATGCATCTTAGACGGCCACTTGCAAGCTTTTAAGACCCCAGACACCACTCACCAAAGTAGGATGGCAGAACATTTTCTAAATAAGCTTTGTTATGCCAATTGACCTCGATGTCCCCTGAAAGCATGGTCTCCAGACCCCTACCCCTGCTACTCTATCCCTCAAAGTGTTTGACTGTATTCAGGAAACTTCTTAGCTTTG